CAGATAAAGTGAATATCTAAAGAGACTGTTTTGAGTTTCAGTGCAAGAGCCCTATACCTGGAGATGCTTAGAGCCCCCAAATCACTAAGTCCACCCCTGGTTTAGAGTACAATTACATAAAAGCTTAGTTTCTGAAAATTCACATTCTCTTTCATCCTTTGTGGATGATCATGTTTCATAAAGGAAGCAAAATCATTTGAGCTTCTGTTAAAAAAAGACTCACATGATCATTTAAATTGACTTATTATTACATTAGTGACCTGAAATAGGGTAATATTTAACACTCATTTTAGGTTAGTGTTTGTTTTTTGGCATTTGTCAGCAATAATAAGTACATTAGTTAATGAACCAACTATAAGCAATATGTTTTCATTTAATTTTATTTATGTTGATAAATTTAAATGTATATTTTGTTAGTTTGTTGTGCACTGACTATCAGTAACAAATGCAACCTTTGATTTAAGGAACTCATCACTGGGAAACACCCGTACACTCTCCTTCACACACATACGCTACAGGACAATTTTAGCTTACTCAATTCACCTGTCTTGTGCCACATGTTTTTGGACTGTGGGGAAACTGGAGCACCCTGAGGTTAACCCACGTAAACACGGGGAGAACATGCAAACTCCACACAGAAATGTTTCCCGACAGCACTACCTACTGCGCCACCGCGTCGTCCTTGAATAAATGAATAATTCAAATTTTGAATAATTCTAATAAACAAATGGCAAGTAATTGTGCAGTGTTACTGAATTTTAAAAACTTTGGAATCGGTAATTTCAGTATCCCGATTCTATATTTATGAAGAGTTTATACATATTCAGCATATAAAAAATATTTCCGAAAGCTCATGTGACACTGAATACTGGTTGAATGAAATATGTTTTAAAATGTTTAAAAATAATCTAGGTTATTTATTTCCCATTTTAATGATGTATCTTGTTGTTACAGATATTGCATTTTATTTGATTAAATCTAGCATTGTTATGAAGAAGTGACTTTTTAACACATTTTTAAAAAATGTTAATACTAAAATAAAGTCATTTTTTAACATCAGTTAATGCTTTTGCAGCACTTATTCACCTTTGTTAATAAATCTTGCCTATTTCAGGCTGCATTTATGTCTAGAAAACATAACTTTTGATTTTACCTTTACCTTAAAACAAATTAACATTACCTTAAAAATGGCCATAAATAGCAGTGTTCATTGTTAATTCTGATTCAGTTTACAAATAAAGCCCCATTGTATTACTGATTTTTAGAACATTTTATTGCTTTAATGAAAACACTTCTGATGACTCTGTACGCTTTTGTTTATTACATACTAAAATAGCGAGCAGTTTCTAAAATTGTTTCCTAACACTATAGTTTTGACTATTTGAATCAAACAAATTCAACATTGGTGAGCAAAAGAACTCCTTTAAAAACATATTACTCAATATAAAATATTAAAAGTGTAATCTGTTAACATCAGTCAATTATAGTCATCATGAGGTAACAGTGAAAAATCCACACAGAGCAGGTAACAATAAACACATAATTTGAACATTTACTAATACACTATGAAACACATTTGTTAGCACTAGTTAGTGCACTGTAAACTAAACCAGTACCTGATTTTAAATTATACTTCTTATTTATTAGATAATGTTACCAAGTAAGACTTTACACATATTGTCACTAAAAAACAATCTTACCGACCACAAACCTTCGCACAGTTGTGAGCAAGTGTCCTTCATAAGTCAGCGCCATCTCTGTATCCTGTTAGGTTATAAATGAGCTTTTCTTCAGCATTGAGCCTCACTGGAAACTAAAGTCTTATTTTCCTGGTGACTAAACAGATATTTTTAGCCTATGAGCCTTCTGATCTCACGTGGACAGATAATGTTTTGACTGTGAGAGAAGAGCAGAGGTCAGAGGTCATTCACTTGTTGTTGCCCTGTAATCACGGTCACAAAACTTCTTCAAGATTCTGTAGGCATGCATGCGTGTTTCCGTTCAGCCTTTTCTCTGACATTATCTTACTCTCAGCCTGTGGCGTGAGCTTTTGTTAAGCGTCCTGTAAGTACCGCGCATATAGGTGTGTGTGTGTTTTGCTGATGTGTGTTTTTGAGCGTTCACTCCTGGGTTCCATTTTACTCTGCAAGTTTTTAATGCTCCAGAAATGGCTGAACAGCAAGGATTACTCCCCCTCTTTCTGCCTCTCCCTCCCTTTTTTCCCTCTATCTCTCTCTCTGTTCTCTTTGTCTTTTCCTCTTTCGATCTTGGTCTGCATTTCTCTTTCGCTCTGCTGCTTTTTTCTCGTTCTCCTGGCGTAGGGGGGTGTGTCTGTGCGCGCATGTCAAAAGAGAAAAAAGTGTTTCTTTTATGGATTTGGCTGCGAGCCACGAATAAAATCATCTCTTTCATATTCCCGAGCCATTAGCTGGTGTGTCATTGGCATTCCGTGTGTGTTTAACAGATCTTCAGGAATTTTTGCTTGTGTTTGTGTGTGTGTGTGTGTGTATGGCATGGGGATTCTTTTTTCTTTGCTCAGTTCAATATGCATGTGTGGCTTGCTAAAGTCAAAGTTATTTAATTCTTGTGTTTCTGAAAACAACTGCGATTTTTTTGTGTTTGCTGAACGGCAAGCTGATTATCTAAAGAGAAAATCGTCTTTCCATCAAGCTGTGAATGAAAGATGGAGCTGAAGTTCCTGTAGGTAGAAAAGCACATGCTTTTTATGGTGCTCTGCTTGTTGTCATGGAAATGCAAAGCCATGGTGCTGCTTTTTTTGTTAGGTAAAAAGCTTTTTTTATTGCAAAGAATTCATGTTGGACTTGCTAGATGAAGATTTAGATGTAAGACCTTTAGAGGTCTTCTTAAGGAGGTATTAGGATGACAAACGATCTTCTATTCTGAAGTTTTGGTTCAGAATTATTATTTTTTAAAATTCTTTTGAAAGTATTTCATGCTCACCAAGGCTGCGTTGTAACTGTGAAAATGTACAGTCAGTTTTTTTGTTACTATTGAAATCTTTTTTTTTTTTGGAAACCTTGATACAACATTTGTCTGTTTAGTGAAAAGTACATTTGAGGAGACCGGAGCTGAATTTATTTCTAATGTTTTTGAATAATTCCTTACGCTGTTAAATAAAGTATACATATATAAATACATTTCCATTTAATAATATGTTAAATTAATAATTAACTTTAATAAATCTAAATATATTTATTCAATATTTGTATTAATATTTATTAGGGCTGCACAAAATTGAAAAATTGTTATATTTTTTCTTTGCAATATATATTGCAATATAAAAACAATTTTACGAGGGATGTCCCGATCAGGTTTTTTTGCCCTCGAGTCTGAGTCATTTGATTTTGAGTATCTACCGAGACCGAAACCTGATCCGATACTTTTATAATATATAAAAAAAGAATAAAGAAGAGCGAACAAACAGATTCAGGATGAAATTTATTTATTATTTATGTCACCTTATTTTAACATTCAACAACTCTGTTAATCTGTCAAGTAAGAAATAACATAAAGTCTTCACTTTTGAACTGTAGTGCAACAGTAAATATAAAAAGAAATAGCACCTCAACTTAAAACACCTGGCAGGCAATACCAAGTTTTCATATCTCACAGTTTGCTATGGCAATGCTGTCGTCATCAACTTTATAATATAGAAATTCTGCACGCATTGTTGTTTCTGTGTGTCTGTCAAGAAAGAGGTCTAACTCTATGCCTCCGCATAACTATAGATGTGTTTAAAATAATGAAGGTGTGTGTGTGTGTGGTGTGTGTGTGTGTGTGTGTATATATATATTCTGATTCCGATAGTCTTTAATATAATGATTTTTATACATTTATCAATTATTTACAAATTTGTTTTTAAACTGTAATCACATTTTAAAGTGTTTAACTTTCTTAATGATGACAAGCATTGCATTAGTAAAGCTGTATAAGACTATTTTATTTATTAGAAACATTGTGTACAAGACCATTTTTATGAAAAGCGTCTAATTTTTATGTCTGATCTGAACTCAATTAATGCCCGAAATTATATACAGTGCCTAAAGATCTATTTTAGCAAAAACATTATTGAATATCTATGTTTTGCAAATCATAAAATCTGAATAGAAAGGAAAGTGTTTTGAGGGGAAAGTAGTCATTACTGTTGAATCATTTATTCATCTAATTGTCTTTATTTGATCTAGTTGCAGTTTGATATATTGTGCAGTGACAGTTGACGGTGTAAATATAAAAAGGGAAATTTAATTGTACAAACCAATGCTAGTCAACCATTGTCATGCCTAATAGTTTGAAAAACTCTATATTGTTGTTCATGTCTTGCCAAAACTTGTTCATGTCCTTCAAGTTTTACACACAGAAAATAACAAACTGTAAAACAAGGATATGTTTATTTTATTTCTGTGGCAAAAAGACAGTAAAAATAGCATTTATTGTACTATTTTACTTTATGTTCTATAAAAACAGTTGTAGTTCCCATGATTTGTTTTATATTTAATTGTCAGCATATAATTCACAATCATGACAGGCCTGATAATAAATGTATGTTTCATTCATTAAATAATATTCACTGAGCAGTGGTTCTCAATCAGACCAACAACATGAACAAAGACAATTAAATAAATAAAGTACATTTAATTTCATGCTGACTTTATGAATAATATAAGTTTCCAAAGTGGTTTTGTTGAGAATGACATCAGTTTAGTTTTATCTTGGTACTCAAACTTAGGTAATGTACTTCTTTTGACACAGACCTTTTATTTAATTTTACTCTTGATCTGAGCCTTTGGAATTGAATTTAGCAAATTTCAGAGACCTGAGCAGTATCGGGTTTAGCTTCTGTCATTTGGCTGAAATCTCTGCATGACTTTAAATCACAAAAACACTTTCTAGTGCATTTTATTTGATTGCAAACAATCCAAAAGACGTCTTCAGTCTAAAAAGTAGCTGATACTAACTGGGTTTGGTGTGTGTGTCCTCAGGGATCGGACGACTGCTTGGTAAAGATCTGGGCGACGGATGACGGGCATTTGCTGGCGACTCTGAGAGGTCACGCAGCAGAGATTTCAGACATGGCTGTGAATTATGAGAACACCCTGCTGGCGGCCGGCAGCTGTGATAAAATGATCAGAGTGTGGTGTTTGCAGACCTGCGCCCCGCTGGCGGTTCTGGAGGGCCATGCCGCATCCATCACGTCATTACAGGTGTGACACATGCTCACATTCACCGCTTAACACTCATGACACACACACTTATGCATGAGAAATTGCTTGTGTGAAGACTTCTATTTAATGTCATTTCTTGCTATTTACTGTTACGAATTTTACTGTGAAATCAGTTTAAATCTTGGCCCTTTTTTAGGTGTATAGGTTGCAACACAGGCTAATTGTGAAAACACACCCCATTTAAAAAAGTACATTTCTGGAGAGCTAGAATGACAGTATGTAGCCAGAGATACGTATGGCTGCATTTCATTTTTAAAATGAAACCTACATGGCGGTTTGATGGCGCCAATGGATTCTGTTTCTTTTCGTGCTACCAGCTGACTGGTTACCTCCATGAGGACCGCTTTTCTGCTGTTACTAGTTTGCCCAGTGGCTCGCCGCATAAATTTACAGACTTGAGACGCAGAGAGAAGTTGACTGCGACAATCGGGTTTAAAGGGTCACGAAACACCAAAACACATTTTTTGAGCTGTTGACATATATGTGTCCCACACTGCTAAAAACACTATTAGGACACCTATATTTCGCTAAAAAGTGTAAATTGGTTGTTTTTGCGTTATTTCAAGCAAATTTGTACTTCCGTTTTGAAACGAATTTTTGAAGCTGCGTCACGGTCATGACATAATAGCGTTGTATTCCAGCGTGCAGACTGGGCGTCTGTGCCAGAGTGAGTCTTATTACGTCTTACAGTGTGTTGCATTAATGTATGAGTAAGGCTTGGTTCAAACCAATCAGCGCGCTCTATTGTGCAACTTCATTAATATTCATTACTGTCAGAGTGTAGATGGCAGAGACGCCACGTTGTGTTGGCAAAACAAGCGTGAAGTGTTGCTTTTATAGTTTGCTGCAGTTAAGTTTCGTTTTCATTTTCTCTCTGTGAGAGCTCAGACTCACGTGTGGATTACAGTGTACGCGACGCGCGACAATAACTTACATGTCTAAGGAGGATTATTGTTTACCTGAGAGCTGTTCTCATCTGCAAACGCTGAGATCCAGATTCGCTTTAGTCTCCTCTTAATAAAGACGCGGCTCTAGTTGCTGGTGATTGTCCTGTCTCTACAGATTTGGTAAGTGAGCGACCAGTGCTCTTTGTTTATTCAGTTCGTATTTTATTCGTATCAAACAAACTATTGCAACAAGTGTAAACAAGTTAGCACTAACAGTTACAACCAAACTATAACCTCGTGTTGGATTTAGTGACCGGAATAACACACGCGGCTTTCTGACGCTACCTGCCGAGTGCATCTAAGTTTCCGGGAAATGCTGAGTTTTTTTTCTCTCATTCGCCGTGCGGTATCAAACATTGCATGAAAAATACACGCTTAGAGCAGCTCCTCGAATCAAATATCACGTTTGTCGGGAGGGACATGAATGAATTCCCTGAATGAAAAAGCCAAACTGCAGTTAAAGTCCACCATTTAATAATCTGGCAAATAATTCGACTACAGATGTCCATGTAAACACAGTCACATTGTCCGCTGGGGTTGTGTGTTTTGACTCTGAAATTCAGCGCGCCCAAATAGACACTCCCACACCAAGCCTCTTTTCTTCCTCCGACACTCCCCCCTAAACAGAGCTGGACACACCCACTTTTCTGACTTTTTCCAAAATAGAGGTGTGAAAACACCCTGCTGAAACGAGGGGGTTTCATGGCCCTTTAAAGCCGGCTAAGAATGGTTCCAGAAAGCAGGTAAAACAAAAACAAAAGGAAAAAAATAATAATAATCAAGTAAATAACTATGAAGAAGTGGTAAGATCTGAAAACATGGTAAAAATCAGGCAGCCATGGGGGCTTTTCTTTTTCTGGATTTTTTTTGAAAGCACTGTTGGTTGGGATTAGGGAAGGGGGTGGGTGGGTTTATCGAGCAGTCGGTCAGTCAGTCGTTCGACAGTGGCCTCTGGTGGAGTTATGCAAAAACAGCAGGCGCGAATGACACTCGCAAGAGAAATTTGATATATGAAAAAGCATAGGCAGCAGCCTCTTGAGGATTTACGCAAGAAGAACAGGTGTGAATGACACTCGCGGGAGAAATTTTGGATCTAAAAAATCGTACACACTGGCCTTTGGTGGATTTATGCTAGAAGAGTAGGCACGAATGGCACTCGCTAGAGAAATTTGAGAACTGAAAAAGCGTACACAGTGGCCTCTGGTGAATTTATGCGAGAACAGCAGGTGCAAATAGTAATTGCGAGAGAAATTTGAGATCTGAAAAAATGTACACATCGGCCTCTGGTGGATTTACGAGAGAAGAGCAAACGTGAATGACAATCGCGAGAGAAATTTGAGATCTGAAAAAGCGTACACAGTGGTCTCTGGTGGATTTATGCGGGAAGATCAGGCTCGAATGGCACTTTCAAGAGAAAACTGAGATCTGAAAAAGTGTACACTGTGCCCTCTGGTGGATTTACGCGAGAAGAGCAGACATGAATGGCACTCGCGAGAGAAGTTTGAAATCTGAAAAAGCGTACACATTGACCTTTGGTGGTTTTACGCTAAAAAAGCAGCCGGGAATGGCATTCGCAAGAGAATTTTGACATTTGAAAAAGTGTACACACCAGACTCTGGTGGAATCGTGAAAACAAAAACTGCAAAAAAATTAATAAATAATAATAATAAGCTCCTGGGATGTACTGTCCAGAAATGTATGCTGGGGTATGTACCAAAAAATAGCCCAGATTGGTAAATTACAGAGAAAGACAATCATATCCCACACCACTGTTGCATAATGGTGTAAATAGTTGCCGTTATTGTGATTTACTTTCTCTTTGGCTGGAACTTGGACCTTTTAATTCATTATTTTCCCAGCTGATGGCAGAACAGAGTGGTGAAAATAAACAAAGCATCGGGATAAGGGTTTTATGCTATAATGCAAAAATGTAATATTTTATAAGCAATTAACCTTTATTGTTTGAATTATTACTGTGGAAGAGGGCAAAGTTACATAACTGACTGTGACAGCGGAATAGTGTTAAAAAAGCATTAGCTGTATAATTTATTTAAGCTGCAATGCAAGTGCCAGCACAACACTGTATATGTCCATATTATTGCAAACCAGACACTTTTAACTGTGTGTGTACAGTGTTGCTCTGTTACTGTCATTTTCTGGACCTGTTGACTTTTGACTGTTTAAATCAAAATAGAGTTACTTCAATAATTATGATGAACTTCATAAAACTTTGAGTAGTTGGAAATATACTCCACTGTTCAGATGTTTGGGTCAGTTATATAATGTTTGAATAAACATAGAAATGAATAAAGAAGTCTGGGTCACACTTTAATTTAATGTACAATTCACCCTGATAACAAACCATCAACTAAGACCTTAAGATTAACAAGATACTAGTTAGCAGCTTATTAATTGTTAGTATTAGTAGTTAGTAAGTAAATAGTTGGGTTTAGGTATTGGGAAGGATTTGGGATGTAAAATAAGATCATACTTTATAAGTGCTAAAAAACAATACTTTAATAATTGCCAGATAATAAGCCAGTAGTAAATGATGTGAAATGTTACTTAAACTAAAGTGTTACCAAAGTCTGTTAGGCTAAGCCGTTTTTTTTATCTGTAAAATATTAATATTAAGAAGTACTATCATAATTTGAAATGCCATTTTTCTGATGCTAAAGCTGAATTTTCAGCATGAATGCTCAAGTCTTTATTGTTCTTCAGAAATCATAATTTAATGTCTAAACTCTAAGCTCTCATATAAAATGGATAAATAAATAAAAATAAAACAATACACAAAAAAATCTAAATCAAAACAAATTTCCTTTTGATAATTAAAATAAAATTGATGCATTTTACAGGATTATAAATGGCTTTGCTTTTACTTTTGATCAATTTAATTAATCAGTGCTAAATAGAAGTGTTGATTTCTTTAAAAAAAATCTTAACCTTTAATATAATCTTACCTATCCAACTCTTTGTATGTTTACATCAAATTAACAATATATTTTGGATCGTATAGCACAGACATGCATAGCCTTCTAATGTGTTCTAGTGTGTGTGTGTGTGTAGTTTTCTCCTCTGTGTAGCGGCAATAAGAGGTTTCTGTCCTCCACTGGAGCTGACGGCACCATCTGTTTCTGGCAGTGGGACGCTCGCACGCTCAAATTCGGGTGAGTCTTTATTCTTGCACACATCTGTAGGGTTTTAAGAATTGGAGTGTTTTCTTTGCCACCCAGAGCAAGTATTTGAGACCCTTTTTGTATAGCCACTAAAAAGAGAAACATGTAATTGTAGCATGCAGCTGAAATATTATATTTTGACTATTAAAAACTTTAGGTTAATTTGCTGAGACAGCTTTTAATTTTTTTATCATTATTTTTTGCAGAAATGACACCCTTCACCTTTAATAGGCATCAAGAGCCAATATTCTATCATTAATCTATATTTCCTTCTGCTCATCATTGTTTCTGTGTTTTTTTATATGTGTGTGTGCAGGCAGCGACCCAGCAAATTCATTGAGCGGCCCAGACCAGGAGTGCAGATGATCTGTTCCTCATTTAGTGCAGGTGGGCCAGAGTGTCAAAGCTCTTTTCTCACCTTTACCTGCTCCCATTTATCAGTTATCTTTTACCATTCACAGCCTCTCCCATTGGGAACCCATGTGACAAAATGCTTTTTGTTTTAGCACTGAGCTTGTAGTAAAACATGATGTTTTTGAGATTGTTTAAAGAGGCTACTTCTACGCTATTGTGAACTAGAATATGAGTGTTTTTCATGACCAATGGAAGACTGTTGCTATAAAATTAGAATAAACACAAATTATCATGGGATTTGTTACACTCAGAAAATTATTTTTGCTGCTTGTTCAAAACTTCTAAAATCTTAAATGAGCTGAATCAACACAAATGTTGAAGTTAGGAAGGTACAACTTAATTGTTTTATGTTCAATCCCCTTAAATTTGTTGAAACAAGTAAGATAACTTAATCTATTTGTGTTGGGACCACATGAACAATTGTGTGGAACCCAGCATTTTTTAAAGTGTAAAAAGAATTTAAGTTAAGACTGCAACAAATTGAGAAGATATTCTGAAGAATGTTGGAAAAAGTAGCCACTGATATCCATTGTTGAGACAAAACATCTATAGCTATTTTTCTGTACATCGTTCTGTGTGTATAACTGAAGAAAGCAACTCAAACAGGTTTTGATTGATTGGAGGATGAGTAGATGATTTGTGGGTGAAATATCACTTTAAATGTTGAATGTATTCAAAACAGAACAAGATAGGGCTGTATGATATTGGAAAAATCTGATATTGTGACATTTTATTTTTTTGCAATAAATATTGCAATGATTGCAGTTACAGTTTGATAGATTGAAGATAGTTTGAATAGTTCGGTTTGACGGTTTTCTGGGAAGTCTAACAGTATTCAGGTTGAGAAATTGAATAATCACAATGCAAAAAATAAAATGCTTTTCTTGCTTTGTTTTGTCTCGTTTCTAGTCCAAATACCAAAAAATTCTTAGACCAAGTAAAAATATTGTTTACTTTTCACCGTCAGAAAAAATGTGTGAAAATTAAGTTTTTTGCTTGTTTTAAGGAAATTATCTGCCAGTGGGTTTATTGAAATAACCTTGTTTTTGCTTTGAATTGTAGATATTTAGAAAGAAACAAGACAAAAATTAAAAGTAAAAAATGTCTTCTTTTTTTTTTTTTTGCATAAATCATATAAATTCCACACAAATACAGTGACTAAATACAATTCTGTGGCTCCTGGTCAACTGTAATTCAGACGAACATTGCATATCTTTGCGATGTGATTATTGCGAATGTGCACTTTGCAAAATAGATGCTGAAACAATATATTGTGCAGTCCTAGAACAAGATAAAATTCTGCCATCAATTACTCATCTTTCCTTGAGCAAAAAAAGAAGATATGTTGTTATTTGGCACCCACTGACTTCCATAGTAGTATTTTTTTCCTACAATGGAAATCAATAGGTACCAGCAACTAGTATTTTTAAAAAAAACATATTTTATGTTTAATAGAAGAAAAAAAATAAAGAAAAATTTGACAAATTAGAGAGAATAAATGAGGCTGTTTTACTTTTTGGGTGAACTATCCCTCTAAATAAAACACACATTATAATAGCATTTGTTACAAAACAATTCAATTGTGTTTGGAGAAAAATAATGCCTGATTTTATCAGTTATCACTGATCCTTATCAGTGTTCAGAAGAGAACAAGATACAAATCTGAAAATATGCTGAAGTCAGAAATCTGTTCCATTAAAAATTATTAGTAATTCTGTAAATCTGTAATTTCCCAAATGATGTTTACATTTTTCTCAGTATTTCCTATAAAATTATTTCTCCTAGAGAAATTCTTATTTGTTTTTATTTCGGCTACAATAAAAGCTTGTTTTTATTTTATAAACTATTTCAGGGTCAATATTATTAGCCCCCTTAAGCAATATATTATTTTTCATTGTCTAGACAACAAACTATCATTATACAATGACTTTTCTAATTACCCTAACTTGCCTAATTAACCCAATTAAGCTTTTAAATGTCACTGTAAGCTGAATACAAGCATCTTGGGGGGGGGGGGGGGGGGGGGGGGGTTATAACGGCATTTGTTATATAGAAACAAATGTGTAAATGTAGCCTGACAATGATCAGTGCTGAACTGCTTTCCTTCATAACATGTGGTACAGATTTTATATAATATCTCAAACAAGATAGCAAATGAAATAAATTTTGTGAGAAGATCTATATTTATTTATAAGGCCTGTCAATGTCATGCACACAGTCTCGCATGAACAAACAACAAACTGTGATCGATTTGAGACAGCTGTAATATTTAAGAAGCACACTCATGTTTATGTAAATGCATGTTCTCCCATAGAAACATGATCTGAAGTGATTATTCTCGTGTTTCCATTGTTCTGAAAGCTGATAGCAGATTATAGAGTGATGATGGATCGTTTTGGCTTAAACATTTTTCTGCAAAGTGGGGCTATAAATATCTTGTTGTCAGACAGATATCACAGACTTTTTAAAAGAGAGCGCTCGGCACTGCGGGAGCTCTTTAAATACACATTTCTGAAGAAAAAGAAACACTCGGCTGACTTTAGTTCTTTCCTCTTCTGTGTTCACTTGATCTGTTTGAGTTTCTTGCTCATAAACACTCGATTGTGATTATTGGTTATACTTGCATGGTTGAGTCTGCAGGAAAACGATGACAGAACGCTTGCTGATGATGGATTTTGTTCTAGTGTGTGTGTGTTTGTGCGCATTAATGCTGCGTTATTGATGATGATGGTATAATTTATGTAATGTTAAGTGATATTTGATGATTTCAGGTGGGATGTTCTTGGCGACGGGCAGCACCGATCACATCATTAGGGTTTATTACTTTGGAGGTGGACAACCAGAGAAGATATCTGAGCTGGAGTCTCACACTGTACGTAATGCATTTGTTTGCATTTCATATTTGTGTGTGTGTGTGTGTGTGTGTGTGTTTGTGTGTGTGTGTGTGTGTGTGTGTGTGTGTGTGTGTGTGTGTGTGTGTGTAAAGGAGACATTTACATCTAAATGTAATGTAAAATGTAGTTTAGAGTCTTAAAATTTAGAGTATTAAAATCATGTGGAGGGTAAAGCATGCATAGTGGTGTTTTTCCCTATAAACACGCAAATTAGAATGTGGTTTGTGACTTTATAACACCTTGTCACATGCAGAGTATGAATTAGGGGGAGCTGACTTCCCTAATTAATGATTGATCCCCCTCGAAGGATGTGAAAACAAGATGTATGGGTTGTCAGTCTGCATCTTAAAAACTAATATTACTAATTAATTAATTAAATTTAAATTTACAATGCATCTGGAAAGTATTCATATAGCTTCACTTTTTACACATTTTTTAATGTTACAGTCTTTTTCCATAATGGATTAAATTCATTTATTTCCTCAAAATTCTACACACAATACCCCTTAATGTCAATGTGAAAAAAAGATTTTTTTAAATTGTTGCAAATTTATTCAAAATAAAAAAAGCTGAAAAATCACATGTCCATAAGTATTCACAGCCTTTGCTCAATACTTTGTTTATGCACCAATTTGTTGATGGTAGCAATTACAGCCTCAAGTCTTTTTGAATATGATGCCACAAGCTTGGCACACTTGTCTTTAGGATATTTTGCCCATTCCTCTTTGCATTACTTCTCAAGCTCTATCAAGGTGGATGGGAAGCGACAGTGTACAACCATTTTCAGATCTCTAGAGATGTTAATAGGATTTAGGTCTGGACTCTGGCTGGGCCACTCAAGGACATTCATCGAGTTTTCATGAAGCTACTCCAATAATATTTTGGCGGTGTGCTTTGGGTCATTGTCCTGCAGGAAGATGAGCCGTCGCCCAGTCTGAGGTCAAGAGCAGTCTGAAGCAGGTTTTCATTGAGGATGTCTCTGTACATTGCTGCATTTATCCTGACTAGTCTTCCAGTTCCTGCTGCTGAAAAACATCCCCACATCATGATGCCGCCACCACCATGCTTCACTGTAAGGATAGTATTAGCTTAGTGATGAGTGGTGCCTGATTTTCTCTAAATGTAATGCCTTGCATTTACTCTAAAGAGTTCAATTTTAGTCAGAGAATTTTGATTCTTATGGTCTGAGAGTGGCGACACAGTGGCGCAGTAGGTAGTGCTGTCGCCTCACAGCAAGAAGGTCACTGGTTTGAGACTCGGCTGGATCAGTTGGCATTTCTGTGTGGAGTTTGCATGATCTCCCTGCGTTTGCGTGGGTTTCCTCCGGTTGTTCCGGTTTCCCCCACAGTCCAAAGACATGCGGTACAGGTGAATTGGGTAGGTTAAATTGTGTGTGAATGAGTGTGTATAGATGTTTCCCAGAGATGGGTTGCAGCTGGAAGGGCATATTCTGCGTAAAAACGTGCTGGATAAGTTAGTGGTTCATTCTGCAGTGGTGACCCCACGTTAAAGTTAAAGGGGCTAAGCCGAAAAGAAAATGAATGAATGAATGGTCTGAAAGTCCTTCAGATGCCTTTTGGCAAATTCCAGGTGGGGAATGGCTTTCGTCGGACCCCTCTACCAAACAGGCCTGATTAGTGGATTGCTGCACAGATAGTTGTCCTTTTGTAAGTTTCTCTTCGCTCCACAAAAGAACGCTGGAGCATAGACAGATTGACCATCGGGTTTTTGATCATCTCGCTGACTAAGGCCCTTCTCCTCGGATCACTCAGGTTACATGGTTGGCCAGCTCTTGGAAGAGTCCTGGTGGTTCCAAACATCTTCCACTTACGGATGATGGAACTTTCAAAGCAGCAGAAATTTTTCTGTAAACTTCCTCAGCATTGTGCCTTGAAACAATTCTGTCTCGGAGATCTACTGCCAATTCCTTTGTCTTCATGCTTGGTTTGTGCTTTGACAAGCACTGTCAACCCTGGCACCTTATATAGACAGGTTTATGCGTTTTCAGATCATGTCAAATCAAGTGACTTTACCACAGTTTTAATTGAACTGCAATTAAGCTGCTGAAACATCTCAAGAATGATCAGTGGAAACAGAATGTACCTGAGCTCAATTTAGAGCTTTACTGCAAATACTTATGTGTATGGGATTTTTCAGGTTTTTATTTTAATCAATTTGCAACAATAAAAAAAAAATCACATTGTCATTATGGGGTATTGTGTGTACAATTTTGAGGAAATCCATTTATTTAATCAGGTAATAAATTTTGGAATAAGGCTGGAACATAAATAAATGTGTTAAAAGTGAAATGCTATGAATACTTTCCGGATGCACTGTACATATGACCACCTCTATAATGGCTTAAACCACTGTGAATGCATAGTCACATCGATTAATCTAGGCTGATAGACATGGTAAATGTTCACTTTTCTTGTTTGTTTCTACATATAGCCTAAAAGTAAAGTAAAATTAGATGCATAGTTTGTATAGTTTGACCTACAGTAAAAAGCTAATTACAGGATATTGTAGGTCAGATTACACAAACTATCCCACAAAACAATGAACAATTAAATGTGTTGTATTAATAAAATAGATGTCATTTAATTTGATTCACTGAAGCATGCGGTACACAAAATAACTTACTGAAAAATTATTTAAGTCCTGGCCAGTAGGCATTTCTGCGGAGTTAGCATGTTACACGATTGTTGGCGTGGGTTTCCTCCAGGTGCTCTGGTTTTTCCCACAGTCCAAAGACATGCACTATAGGTGAATTGGATAAACAAAACTGGACATAGTGCATGAGTTGCATGAAACATATGTTGGAATCGGTGGCGGTTCACTTCAATGTGGCGACTCCTGATAATTTAGGGACTGAGACAAAGGAAAATTAATGAATGAATAAATATTATATGGTATAGACTAGTAGTCAAAATTGTGAGATTATTAAAGGGATTATTAAAGGGAAATCTTAGCCATTATTTACTCACTCTTCACTTGTTCAAGTAAACACACACAAAAAAAGATATTTTGAAGAATGCTGGTTGCTGGCACCTATTGACTTGCATAGTAATCTTTTCCCTACTTTGGAAGCCAATGGGTGCCAGCAACTAACTTTAAAATAATTTCATTTGTGCCCAACAGAAGAACGAAGCTCATAAAAGTTTAATACCTCATGGAAGAGTAAATGAGATCATTTTTGTTTTTGGGTGAATGATCCCTTTAAGTTGATTCCACTTAACAAGGCTACACTTAAGACTGACTTAAATCAATACATTATTAGTAGGGCTGGGCGATATGGCAAAAATTAAATCTTTATAGTTATTTTCCATTTTAAACGATGTCGATATATGTTTCGATATCAGATGTAAATGCTTCCAGATTTAAAAGAGTACCTCAACACTGCCTGAAGCCACAAAAATTAGAGAGTGCATTAAATGGTGGCTGAAAATTCAGTGCATCTCTAATATCAACACACTTTTACATTCCGATTGTTGGAGATTTCTGCTGTGTGATTGGTTCCTAGATTAATAAAAAGTAAAAAAGGCCAGAGCTTATCACTGTGATTGACAAATTTGTGTTTGGATGTGTTGCATTAAAGCACCCCATTTTCCTGCTCTCTACTGGTCTTACTATTGCAGGAATGCTTATTGTTTTGAGGTTCTCCTCATGTTTTTTATTGACTTTTTTTTGTTTCCTCAGGACAAAGTCGACAGCATCCAGTTTTCCCATAGTGGAGACAGGTAAGCAACTCTATGTGTACATGTGAGATCATGTACGTGTGTGTGTGTGTGTGTGTGTGTGTCAGTTTTGTTGGATTAATGGAACACAGAGACTCTTATAATTACTTTGAGCTGATGTTGTCAGCAGAAAAAAGAAACTTGTTCCCAACACACACAAACATGCGTGTCAAATGCTTGCAATAAACTGCAGTACAAGAATTCAAGTGCATGAAACATCTTTCTACTTAAACAACCGGCATGTGACAGTTAAACACACACACCAGCCCTTATTCGGTCTCCGCGAGCTCTTTTATGCTCCTCACTCACTCTATTTTAATGAGCAAATGTTTTTGCATTGGGGGAAGGGGAAAACCGACAGGAGAAGAGGGAGAAACGGAGGAGAGAGAAAGAAGGGGAGTAATAAGACGGAGAGGTCTGTAACAGGTCCCTGAGGAATTAAAAAGATGGATATTCACATGAACAGATTCTTTTTACGGCATCCAGTGTTACGTGTTAGAAGGGGTGAAAGCTCACCAATCATTAGACCTGCAGGAAATACTGTCAAAAAGAAGAAAACTATGTCACAAATGAGTAGACAGCATGCAGAAACATGCAGCACTCTGTCTTATTTGAGATTAATGTATTCTGACTCATTTATAGATTTATACTAGTTCAGAGTAATGCAGTCGTATGTTAATGCAGACTTATCATTTCATGGAAAATTAGATCCAGCCACAAACTTTGAGTGTAATGCATTGTTCATATAAATTTTAGGTTTCTTTTTTTGTCTATAAGGAAATTTTTCTTGGACAAAAGGACTGCCGAGCACAAAATACACAATAGATGCATAATATTATATGAAAAAAGTTAACACGAATAGGCAGTTTCCAATCATGCGGTTCTGGTGATGTGCGAAATTCATATGGAGGGCAGGAAGTGAAAAAAACTAAATGGGAGACATAGAGAAAAGTCAGTATTTTTGCGATTTATACCATATTTATAAGATATAAGTAAAATATATAATATATAAAAGATATTAAAAAAAACATAACCACATATGTTGGGCATGATCCTTATATTATAAAGAGGGCCTTAAATATATCTGCCTGTCATCGAGGCGGTAGATACTGTATACGTTACATGAAAAATACAATTGTAAATACTATAGTGTTTGGAAGCATATAGAAATTGCTGGAATTAAACTGTCATAGTAGTTCTATTGTTGCTGTGGTACAACACAACTGTAGCAATAAATTATTAAATTGACTTCAGTTTTCTACACTACACCATTTCAATGCACAACAGTTTACACTAAAATTACAGTATTTATTACAGTTTATCAGTTTACCATGCTACAGTATTCTGTAGCATTCATTAAGAGTTATACACATTATACACTTTACTATGTGGGTCAAAAACTCGTTTATTATATATTACTGAAGTTTTTCCCCATGCAGATATCTTCTATACATCACAAAATAACAAATGAAAGCATATAAAAGTGTGGACGCATAGTCTACATTATTATTTATTTACTTTTGTAAGGGGGAAAAGTGCTCCACAATAATAACCATCTAGGTTTGTTGCAAGGGTTGCATTTCTTTTTTGTTCGGTCGATAAACTTACCATCAACAAACATTCACAGCTGCTCCGCATCTCGATGTTCACGTTACGGTTGTTTATTCCTCCAAAACGCTATAGGCATGTGTTATTGCAAAACATGACAGACATTTCATTACAGCGATTATATGGCAGGGTACGTTATTTATATTCTCCTGGATTTTTCTATAGGTGTGATATTTGTAGTATCCAATTTTTAAATAACACTTGTTTATTATTATTAACACATATTTAAACAAATAGGCCTGTATATAATATTTATTGGTGCTGTCATATGAACTATCTCGTTCAAAAAAGTTTGTACACAAGAATGAATTGAAAGAATGTTTATTACATGCCACCTTTTCTTCCGTTTCCAGCCAGTTTCCCCTCTTTATGAGCAAAAACTTTTGAACATCTATAAAAGCTGTTCGTCATTTCTTATATTGGCCGATTTAAACAATTACACAACATAAAACAGAAACATTTTGATGTTCTGAATGTTCTTCTATGTAGAAAAATCACTTCCTGTCCTCCATCTGAATTACCCGATGTCATGTAAAAACAACCTATTAAAACAGTGCTTTTAAAACGTTTTATAAAGTATTTCATTGTAATGCTATGTGAAAAACAGCCAAATTAAATTGATTTATATTGTTCAATTTATATCTTGTTTTCCAGCACAGATATCTAAAAATTCTAGGATAAAATGGAGATGCAAAACTGCACAAAATACTAAAACGTCAGAATATGTATCTTAAATTGGACTTTTTTACCTTATTAGCAGGCTGTTTTTATTCTATGAAGACAAAAATTTGTGAAAATGATGTGGTTAAAGATGTAAACATTGTGTCTGCAAGGTCTTAAAAAGGCTTACATTTCAAAAACTAAATTTTAGGCCTTAAAAGTCTAAAATTCACTGAAATATTGTGTTGTAAGTTTTACATCATTTAAAAAATGTTCCTAAATGTTTAATGTTACTATTTCCAAGTAAAGCTACCCAATCTGTCACCTGTTAAATCATTTTAAACATTCTAGATACAATACACAACATCTGTTAGACATTTTGACAGCAACCTCTCCAAATAAAATCCCTAATCATGGAAAAAAACTAAAGCAACACATCTCTTTACATGGTCTTCTATTCATACAAAAACTATTTACAGAAGTATTAGAAAAAAATGGCTATCTGCATGTTTACTAGCGATCTAAAATAATTAGATTGCTGGTGATAGTGACATGTACAACATTTATTAATCATAGTTAAAATCTAAATTCATGCTTGTTAACATTAGTCAATGCATCATGAGTTAACATGAACTAACAATGAACAACTGTATTTCCATTAACTAATGTAAACAAAGAGGAATAAATACTGTAATAAACATATTATTCATTGTTTGCTCATGTCAATGAATGCATTAATTAACATTATCTAATACAGCTGCATATGTGTAGCATATGTAACAATGAGACCTTGAATAAAGTGTTACCCAAAATGTAATAGGCAACCCTTTTTCTTCTCAAAGATATAGGGTGACTTCACATAGAAATAAAATTAACCCCACTGTTTTATATGCACATTTGTATTGACCTTATTCTTCAATGCAGAAGAGCGCTCATTTTTGCGATTGTTTTAGAACTTCGAATTCAGTTGGCTTTGGGAGAAATTACTAGGCATAATAAACATCAGAAAATGGTCACACTATTTCTCTACAAACAAATAAAAAAATATCAGATCAACATCAAGCAGCATAATGAGTCATTTTTAACATCTAGAAATCAATTGAAGTGAATGAGACTGAAAGTGTCCAGCCAAAAAGGTTCAAAGGGCTGCGCCCGCTCTTACTTGAAATATTAGGTCAATACACAACATGTGTAATAATTACATACTAATACTGAATAGTTTCAGTGCTATCTTTTTGCATACTCTCATTACATGATTGCTCACCTAAAAAATAAAAAAAGCACCCTCAAGCGATCTGAGATGTTGGTGGCTTTTTTCTTTAGAACTATATTAGATAAGAGAATAGACATTAGAGTAGATTTTCATTTGAAACTGCGATCCTCTGTAAATTTATAAAATGTAAGTCAGCAAAAATGAATATCCATGACTTTTGGTGGTCTAATGAAGCAAAACAATCGGTCTATGCAAGAAACTGTATGTAGGTTTTTTGAGTCTCAATGTGCCAGTAGCCATTGACCTGTATTTTATGGCCATTTTTATCACCAGGGACCACAGATTCAAATTTCTTCTTTAATGTTGTACTAAAGAAAGAAAATCAATAGTACAACATATTTTTTTTAAAGAAATTTCCTTTTAACACATAACTGCCTTAGAGGGTAATACATAATAGTTTTTTCAATAAAGTTCGAGCTCATATCCTGCTGAAGGTAAATTCAAATCGGTTAAAAAGTGGAATGAGTTTATCACTGCAATTTGTACCACTTTAATTTTAACTAAACACTACAAGGCAGAGCTGAACTTTTCAATTAAAGCAAATTAAGATTTTATTACAGTGTGCCTTTACTCATTTGCTTTCATGAGGCCTCAGAGTATTTATTGGTATAAGTGACATTTGCCAGCATGAACGTGTGTTTGTGTGTGTGTGCAGGTTTGTGAGTGGCAGTAGAGACGGCACGGCGCGGATCTGGCAGCTGCAGCAGCAGGACTGGCGGAGCATTCTCTTGGACATGGCCACTAAACTACCTGGGTAAGACAAACATTAATCACCGTTTAAAAGTATGGCTCAATTAATTGTGCATTAATGCTACATTTTGTTGGCTAAACAAGTGATCATTAGCGGCATAATTACTTTTGAGTCCCGTGAGATCAATTGATTTTGACCACACAGAAGCGACACCCTTCGGTTTGCCAAGCTGATTGTTTTCTAAACTAAATGAAACAATACAAAACAACAAACAATCATTATATTTGGGTATTTTAGCATTTTGTTTTATTGCTTTTTCTCCAATATTTAATGATAATTGGTGACGTTTTTTTTCTCTAAATATTTAATTGTATTTAACCACATATTGAAGGACATTTTTGATAAAGGCTCATTTTACAAGTCTCTTAGAGTTAAACTTTGATTTGAACCATTTTTTGAATCCATTCAGCCAATTTCTTCTAGCGAGGTCAGTATTCGCTTAGCTTAGCATGCCGAATTAAATCTGATTTGACTATTAGCAATTTGATTAAAATAATAATAAATAATTGAGATAAGTTTCCTATTTAAATCTTGTGTCTTGTGTAGTTACGAAGTGTAAGTCTGAGGGAAAATTTAAAAATACTATTTTCTATTGCTAGGAACTATGCTCTCATTCTGGCATAATAGTCAAGAAACTGTGCTGCTGCATCAGGCGCAGTGATATTATGCAGCGTATGAGAATGGGCTACGTTCAGAGGGTCCCATGAAAACTTTTTTTTTTAAATATAGAGAGTGAAACAATGTCTGTATTTCATTAGTTAGTCTAACACAATTGAACAATATTAAACTAATTAATATTACGGTGCAGAAAAAAAATGCAATAACACCTAGAACAGATTTTACTTATTAAAAAAAGCATTTTTTTCCAACAAAGGCTCATTGTGAAAACATACCCCTGTATACAATTCTGAAGAGCGCAAATTACAACCCAGGCTCATTCTGAAAGTGTACATCAATATACATTTCTGGAGACTGCGAAATACGTTCCATGAGGTACTTTTTTTGTGCAGTTTTTGTGAATCCATGAGGCCACTGTGTACACTTTTTGAGATGTCAAATTTCTCTTGCGGGTGCTATTCGCGCCTGCTGTTCTTGCGTAAACCCACCAGAGGCTGTTGTTGACTGAATGACTGACTAACTTATTGATCGACTGATTGACCCGCCCAGCCACTTCCCTCAACCCAACCAACAATTTTTAAAAGGCAATACAGAAAAAGAAAAGTCCTCATCTGATTTTTACCACGTTTTCAGAATTTACCACGTTCTCCCTCTGTTATTTACTTGTTTTTTATTTTATTTTTTGGATTCTGTTTTTGTCTTACCTACTTTATGGAACCGTTCTTCACCGGACTCTGACGTCGTGGTCAACTCCTCTCTACGTCTCAAGTCCCCCGATGTACATGGCAAGCTAACAGGACAAACTGGTTACAGAGGGAAAGCTGTCCATATGAAGGTAAGCGGTCAGCTGGTAAGTGCGAAAAGGAACGGCAATACTGCCCCCGTAGCATTTGTTTTAAAAATAAAATGCAGCCATACATACTTCTGGCTACATAATTCCTGATCTCCATAAACATATATAAGGCTACTTCTAATAAGCCTATGTTGGCAAATTATGTAGCTAGAACTACGTATGGCTGCATTTTGTCTAAAAAATGAATGCTAGGTGGTGGTATGACATTGCAGACAGCTTCTTTTTCTTTTCGTGCTACCAGCTGACTGGTTACCTCCATGTGGACGGCTTTTCTGCTGTTACTAGTTTGCTCAGTGGCTCGCCACATACGTCGGGAAATTATTGAGACGCTAAGAGTAGTTGATCACGATGACGGGGTTTGAGCCCGGCGAAGAACGGTTGCAGAAAGCAGGTCAAACAAAAACAAAAGTCAAAAAATAAAATAATAACAGTAAACAACAGGGTGAGAATGTGGTAAGACCTAAAAATGTAAAAATCATGCGGCCACAAGGGCTTATCTTTTTTTAGATTGCTTTTGAAAACACTGTAAGTTCAGTTTAGGGAGGCCAGTGGGTGAGTCAATTGATGCTTTTGAAAACACTATCGGTTGGTTATTCAGTCGACAGCGGCCTATAGTGGATTTTTTGCAAGAAGAACAGGCCCAAATGGCTTTCGCAAAATAACTTGGAGATTTGAAAAGCGTACACAGCATCCTTTGGTGGATTTGCGAAAACTAAAGCTGCAAAAAAAAAAAAAAGACATAACTTCTGGGATGTATTTCCCACTGTCCAGAAATCTTTTCAGGGGTATCTATTAATAATGATCCTGGGTTGATTTTTTTCAATGTCGAACTGTGAATCTAAAAAAAAAAAAGTGAAAATATATTAACCTAAATTAAAATGGAAATCTAATGATCCACTGTAGCCATTTAGCCGTCAATTAAAAAATTTGTAAAGTGTTTGATTTTCAGTTTATCAGGGATCAAATGCTGGTTGTTTATTAAAGCTTGCACCTTTAGAGCAAGTCATTCTAGACTTATTATTCCAATATAATAAAACGATTAAGATCATGGCCACAAATTGCATGATCATTTTTATACTAATTGTAATATAGTTTGTATAATATAGTTTTTTATTTCAATATATTAGATAGTATCTCATTGCTCTTGCTCTTGGAAAATAGGCCACCTGAAAACAAAATTAGAAATGTCATCTCTATTTTTGATCTTTCAACTCTCATTTCTTTCTGTCTTCCTTAGCAAATACAACCCTCCACCTTTAGAGGACAAAGTTACCAAGCTGAAGGTGACTATGGTGGCCTGGGACTGCAACGACAACACAGTCATCACCGCTGCCAACAACCTGACGCTCAAAGTGTGGAACTCGTACACGGGGAACCTCATCCACGTGCTGATGGTAAGAGTGTGAAGATCTCTGAATGATTGATAGGAGCCAGTATGTGATGGTGACTCATGATGGCGTTTTCACCCACAGGGCCACGAGGACGAGGTGTTTGTGTTAGAGCCTCATCCGTTTGATTCCAGAGTGCTTTTCTCTGCTGGGCACGATGGGAATGCAATCGTCTGGGATCTGGCAAGAGGAGTCAAAATACGCTCTTACTTTAACATGGTAAAACAACCAGCTCCACTCCATGTCTTTTATTAGGTCGTAGTGTGTGTGTTTTTGGTCAAACCTGTGTTAACCTTTAGTAAAATCAAATACCCAAAACTGTGTATTGATGCTTGAAAATAGACTGTGTTTTTTTGCTTTGGTGTGTGTTTGCGTGTAGATCGAGGGTCAGGGACATGGTGCAGTGTTTGACTGTAAGTGTTCTCCAGACGGTCAGCACTTCGCTTGCACAGACTCTCACGGTCACCTGCTTATATTCGGCTTTGGCTCCAGCAGCAGATATGACAAGGTACTGAAATGTCTGTCTCTGAATTAAATATTAGCTTAGTGCCTACTGCATGTGAGCTGCTTCATTATATATGGAATATCATGTCATGTGACGTCATTATGTTGCATGTTTAACTAAGTCAGTCTTGTCTAGTTATCGTCTTGGCTGTAAAAGCAGCTATTTTACACTTTTATTCCATGTTTTGGCCGGCTGATTAAATAATGACTTACAAAATTATGTTTGTTTTTAATCAGTTAATACACAGGAAATAGATGGTCAAACTCTGGCATTTTAATCTTTGATATGGTATTACGGGCAGTGTTATTCAAACTAAAATTGTGAATACATTTATTTATTTTCAGTTATCAATAGTGTCTTTATATACACTTGAAGTCAAAATTATTAGCCCCCCTTTGATTTTTTAAAACTTTATATATGTAATAAAAATTAATACCTTTTTCATTTTTAATTAATGTTTACAATATAAATCCACTTAGATCCACATATTTGTTAATCAAAGCAAGACTCATTTAAAATCAGAATTATTAGCGCCAATTAGAATTTTTTTTGTCTTTTTTAAATATTTCTCAAACGATGTTAAACAGAGCAAGGGAATTTTTACCATATGTCTGATAGTGTTTTTTCTTCTGAAGAAAGTCTTATTTGTTGTATTTTGGATTGAATAATAGCAGTTTTTAATTCTTTAAAAACCATTTTAAGGGCAAAATGATTAGCCTCTTTAAGCTATATATTTATTTCAATAGTCTACAAACCAAACCTCACTATACAATAACTTGTCTAATTACCCTAACCTGCCTAGTTAACCTAATTAACCTAGTTAAGCCTTTAAATATCACTTTAAGCTGTATAGAAGGGTCTTGAAAAATATCTAGTCAAATATTATTTGCTATCATTATGGCAAAGATAAAATAAATCAGTTATCAGATATGAGTTATTAAACTATTATGTTTAGAAATATGTTGAAAAAAATCTTCTCTTGTTAAACAGAAATTGGGGGAAAAAATAAACAGGGGGGCTAATAATTCTATCTTTAACTGTAAGTAGATTAATTATTTTATTTAGTTATTTTTATTTATTTATTTGCTTCAAATATATTATTTAATTTGGGTTTATTTATTTCTGAAAATTGTATTTCTTTTTAGTAAAATTGTCTTTCTTAAAAAAGACAGAATTTCAGACAGAATAAAATTTTATTTTATTCAGGTTTTGTAAGTTTAAGTTTTTCATATAATATCTTTTATCTAATTTATTTAGCTTACAATGATCAAAAATGATGTTTAGTCGTATTTTTTTATTAGTATATTTTTTTGTAATCGTTTTTTTTAGGTATTAATAATGACATTTCACAGTATAAAAAGTTCTTGTTGCAAAAATGAGGAATGTACTTATAATAAAAATGAAATATAAAATGCACTGTATTAATTACCCAGTAATTTCTTGTTAAGATCAGTAACTTGTTAAATTGTTTGTGTTGAGATAGTATTTGTCTAAAGAAGTGAAACATAAAACAACTCGCATCAATCACTTTAAATGCTACAGGTGAATTTAGATATGACAGCATTATGATGATTGGATTTTGAGATTTGCAAAAAATGATAGTATTTACAAGAACATAAGATTCACCTGCCTGTAGGTCACACCTGGAAATTAAAAAAGTAATATTCACAGACATCATAAACATGTACTTACTACACAACAGATGCTTTACATTCAAATGTTTATGTTTACAATATAACACATAAACATTATAGCTGCAAAACTAGTGTAATTGTAAACAACTGGACAGTAATATTTTAGATACTGAAGTCTGTAATATTGATAAATGTAGTGCATCTGTATCAGAAATGAGAATGATATCATCAATTGCTGTTCAATGCAGTCTCCTTCTGTTTGTCTGGAGCTGTGTTGGTCTATATTTCGCTTTGCTCTGTATGTATTTATTCTGAATGTATCTATTCATGTGTTCCTCAGATAGCAGATCAGATGTTTTTCCACACGGATTATCGTCCGCTGATCCGCGATGCCCATAACTTTGTGCTGGACGAACAGACTCAGCAGGCGCCTCACCTAATGCCCCCGCCATTCCTGGTGGACGTGGATGGAAACCCTCACCCTCCGCGCTTCCAAAGACTGGTACCAGGCCGAGAAAACTGCAGAGAAGAGCAGCTCATACCCCAGATGGGCCTCACCTCATCAGGTACGAGTGTTTCTCTTCGACCTCTTTCTGCGCTTTTACTAGTTAGAGTAATTAATGGTGACTTGTTTGTACTCACAGGCTTCACAAACAAGCACCATCAATCTGTCACTGAGCTGTAATCAGTGTTATTTCTGGTATTTTAGGGCTAAATCAGGTGGTAAGTCAGCAGGCTGCAGAAGGCTCGAGTCCACTTGATAGTATGATCCAGAGACTACAGCAAGAGCAGGACCAGAGGCTGGGCTCTGACAGCAGAGCCAACAGAGGTAATACAAACTCTCTGTTTTTCACATGTAGTTTTGACGCTACAATTAAATAATCAACAAGTCAGGGGTGCATTTCCGAAAACCATCGTTAGCCATCTAAGGTCGCAAGCTCCATCATCAAAATATGGCGTTTCTCGAATGCTGCATTCCAGTGACAATTCGCAAATTGTGTTGAAAACGTGTGCAGTAGCAAATACTTTTCTTGAGCTGTAGTAAGAAGCAGAGTTCCTGGTTGTGTTCTATTCTGTTATACCCTCTTTGCCCTATTACTTTCCATAGTTCCAACATCCACTTTGATTAATAAAAAAAGCTTACAGTTATCTCTCTCATGTGTACTTTGCTTTCAAAGTAATTTTTCACAGTTAGTAAACTCCAGATTGACAATTGCGCTCTCTTCATAGTGCACTTCGAAATCATTTAGGCCATTTTGAACGCAGCTGCGACTCAGAAGCTATAGGTGACCTATCATTTACAACAGATATCTGTTACATCTCTAAAACTAGTGAAAAAAAAAAGTATTTTTGGACCTAAATGTATTTATGGCAACAAATAAATAAAAGTAGTTTTTACATCATTATTTGACCATATATCTGATTTATGGCCTATATGAGATTAGACTGTATTATAAATTATACACTACTATTGAACGGTTATTTTATAGTGCATTTTGAAGTGCATTTTATAGTGCATCTTATAGTGTTATTTTAATTAAATAAATGCAGCCTTGGTGAGCAGGATAAGCTTATTTTAATGGATTTAAAAATCCTACTTACCGCAAACTTTGGACCGATAGTGTACGTGCTAGCTATTGTAAGTGGATTTATGTTTTAGAATAGAATATGGAATATTATCCATAATGTTTGTAAAGGAATATAGGCCCTATTTGTGCAGTTGACATGTTTTTACCAAAACTAATATTAGATTTTGAAAAAATGTGTGTGTGTGTGTGTGTCTAAAACAAAATTATTACAAAAATAATAATTTATTGTGAAAGATGTTATGATGTTGTTTACATGGATGATGGACGTTTTACATCATAATGAATGTGGTTCAAACAACAGATCTGCGAAAGAACAACTAAGATTTTGGGAAATACTTTGTTAATACTTCGTTTGTTTCCCAAATGACGCATCATACTATAGTAGTTTAGCCACAATTTATGTCATTGTTTGGGAAACGCATCCCAGATTAGTGAAATTTCATTACTTTTGTTATCAGTTTCAGTTTACGTTTTAGTTATTTATGTTATTTGTTTGGCTTATCTTTTCAGTGCTTCCTTTTTCAGTTAGTTGCATAAGGAACATTTTACAAAAACCTTAATTTTAAGTAATTTAATAGAGTAATTTTTTTAAATGTGTTTCTGTTTCAGCCTCATTTCATGGAATTTATTTGCAATAGTTTCAACAGGAAGTTGCTGAGACTTTTAGTGCAGTATGTTAACAAACAACTGAAACGGAACATTGAGTAGGAGGCGGGGCTTTCTTTTTGCACACCATTCCTTCATAGTAAACTAATGGTAAAAGTGGTGTGGTTAAGTATCTTGTGGCTGAAGTCGCCGATCTGGTGTCATTAGAGAAGGACCGCCACTCCAAATGCAGAAGCCAGTGGTCAGACTTTGATTGAAAATGACCAAAAAAAAATTTTTTTTTCTGTGAATTAACTGGCATGGATTAATAGTTCACTTAAGGAATAAAAATTATATTGAATAACAATGTGCTAGTAAAAAAACATTGTAAATTTGGATTTTACACAATAGTAAAAGCTACTTGTGAACAAGCCAAAGTTTCGACAAGTCAAATATTTTGTAAAATATTGTAAATCATGAGTACTTATCAGATGAACCTCTATGAACCAGTTTGGGGGTAATGATGAATATCTATAATGTTGAAACTGTATATCTGCTGTTTGTGTAGGATCTGTCAGCTCTCCCACAGAAGTCACTTCTCCACCAAATGTGGGTCTGAGACGCAGTGGACAGATTGAAGGTGTTCGGCAGATGCACAGTAACGCTCCACGTAGCGAGATCGCCACTGAAAGAGACCTGGTGGCCTGGAGCCGACGAGTCCTCGTTCCTGAACTATCACTAGCCATAGCCTGGTAAAACATAAACATACATGAATAATCCAATAATTGTTGTTAAAAGGAAGCGATAGGTCATAATATTTTTGGATAGTGGGTATGTAGTGTATATACAAAGTGCATCTTGAGATTCCAAAAGCATTCATTGCAGGATGAAGCCTATTAAAATTCAGCAAGAATGACCAAATAATTTGACATTTTTGAAGAGAGAAAGATATATATGAGAAATAAGATAATGAAGTAGTATCACTCAAGTAAAAGTCATGTTTTTTAGATTTACAGTGTATTATTGTGATGATAAATGTGACAAACAACATTTAACAAACAATGTTTTAGACAAAACAGTGTCAAGTGTTTACTTTTGTTCTGAAATATTTCCAAGTATGGTTGGGTATTGCAACCAGTTTGGTGATTTAGTTTAATTTTTATTCATATGGTTTTGATTCCGTTTGATTCGGTATTTGTGAATTAACAATATTTCATTTAAATTGTAAACAGATATGTAATTCATATTTGTAAACAATGGTTACTGAAACCTTCCTACTCATGAATGGATTACACATTTACATTCATAATAAAGCCAACACAATTATGTTTAATTACTTTTTACTTTCAGTAAAACATTGAACTGGAAATTGTCTATAAAACACACACAAACTAAGCACAGAATGTTGTTTACTGTAAAAAAAAAAACAAAAACAAAAAACATGGTAAATGTGCAGGTCAAAACAGTATAATAAATGTAACATCATATGACATCAATAATAAATGTCAACATCATCCATTATTTACTTTTATAAGATTATAAAATGTGTCAGATATGACGATTAATTCAGATATAGTAAGAAATAAGAAATCTACTTTTATAAAAGGTTGTTTTCCATACAGAAATTGTGCCACATGTCAGAATCTAGTGAAGTGTAAAGGATTTTTGAATCCAGTAACAGGTTAAAATATTAAAATAAAAACCTACATTACCTGCTCTACCCATAATGCAGTCTATATGTTAAAATGTCTGTGCCTAAAGATATTGTGAATCATGGATTTCGAGTGTATAATGAAACAAATAATTGTATTTTTAATGTTTTGGACTGTGGGAATTTCATTGTATTGACAAAGCTATGAATAAGTGAATAATAATAATTGAAAAGTACAATGGAGATAATGCTTTTACAGGCTTTTACAGGTGTTAGCTATATTGAAATGAAAATTAGATGTTTTTAACTATTGAGTAGTCGTCTAACTAATGAGGGAATGTGATTGACTGTGGAGTAAGTGGGTGAAGTGAGAAGATTGTGTCACGCACTGAGGAAGGCATTGTGCTGAACTGCCTGTGTTTTGCATCTCCTAATGTAAAATAAAGCTATATAAAGTAATTATTTAACAAGTGTGATTTATGAGCTTTTGAATGATATTATCAACAACATTAACGCACCAAAATAAAAATAAAAAACAGCAAGCAGACTTCATTACTTAACAGGTTAAAATAGTGAAGCTTGAAACATGTTTAAAATACAAAAGAATTTCAATATTCAAAACTGCCGCATAAAACCATTTTCCTTATTTAATTAAATAACTCTTTGATGTACAATGAAGTCAAAATGTTCGTTGATCTGTTTTATTTTCATACACAGCTGAAACTCAAACAAGACCTTCTCATATCTTACTTTTTACTGTTTCTGCAGATTGTTGACAGATGACGTGTTGCTGATGCTTCTATGTGTCTGTGTGTTTGTGAATGCAGTAAGCAGGAGATCTGGAGAACAGCTAAAGGAGAGGAGGAGATCAACATCTACAGATCAGAGAGGAGGAGACGCAGCTTACACAGCCAATACCACAGAGAAAACCGGGTAAATCACCATGCTTGATCATAAGTTTGAAAACATATTACTAAAAAAAACATCCAACTAATCTGCCTAATTGAGTGCACAAAATGTGTGATGCAACTTCCAGCTGAATGCATCTTGATAACGTGTTGCTAAAGCCATTGTTGCAAATTAAATGCATATTAAAGTATGTATTTATCATACCAGCATGCTATAGAAAATGCAGCGGAGGAGGGGCGCCGTCACCAGGGTAACCAGCATAACTACCACACAAGATTGGCTGTGGAGGAAACGAGTCGTCAGAGTGAACCGAACGAGGAAGAACACAGCGCCTCTGAGGTACAAAAACAAAACCTGCAGAATGCCTTTAAATAATAGTTAAGTCAATGAAACACATAATTAATGAACATTTTGTGAGTTATGCTGCATTTATTTGATTAGAAATACAGTTATGTATATTAGAAATAAATATTGTAAAATAAACATGAAATAGATACTAGCTGTTACCTAATTTAATATATTTTAAATGTAATTTATTCTAAATGTGTTAAAGTTTTATTGGTAAAACTGCCATTACTCCATTCTTTACTCATACTCAATCCTTCAGAAATCTTTGTAATAAAGCAATTTGCTGTTTAGAAACATTTCTTTTTCTTATTATCAGTGTTTGAAAAAAAGTTGTGCTGCTTAATATTTGTGTGAAAACCAGGATGCTTTCTTTTTTTTTTTTTCTGAATAGGAATTTAAACAGTGGAGCGTATATTAGCAGACAAAATCTTTTATAACATTTTAAATTCCATTTTATTAGTTTAATGTAGGCATGCATGATATTGGAAAAATCCGACAATGTAATATTTTGTTTTTCTGCAATGTAAATTGCGATATAAATGAATCGAATTTCACCAGATAGCTTGAATAGCTCTATTTGGAAAGACATTCTTAATTTAAATTGATTGGGTTGATTTTTAAGGCAAAAATAATACAATAGAGCAAAGAAAAGAGTCAAATAAACAGTGCTTTATGGTTTATGGGAGTCAAACTGTATTAAGGTACAGAAATTAAATTATGAAATGTAAAATAACACTGTATAGTTTTCATTGTATTAATAATTCAGTAAAACTATTCTTTATTAAAGTATCAAATGTGCTTTTTTGTGCCCGAATGTTTTAAACTCTCTTGAAATGCCTTTAAAAACATGCAAATTCTAAACTTATGCTTTGCAATTACAAATCTAATGTATTCTCAACTTTTGTGTTGATCAACTATAGTCCCAACTCGACGTTGCATATACTGCGATGTGACTATATCGATATCGATGCTGAAACGATATATTGTGCAGCCCTAATTTAATGCATCCTCAAAAAACTAAAACAGTTAGGATATTGAGTTATAGCTTATATTGAGTTATATAAAACTAATTTTAGGTAGACTCGATATATGCCTGCTGTTTTTATAAATGATATTGAATGTAATTTAGTTTTTATGTTTATACATTACTCATTTTACTTTCTAAAACTTTAAAGCTATAGAGCAGGTTTTATATTGTTTTCAGAAACAAAAAGAAAAAGTCTTGATAACTTTAGTTTAGGCCACAATTCACAATATTAACAAACCAATAACTAAAACTTTTAACTGTTTATTAATAGTTACTAAAGTCCTGGGTAGGATTAAGGATGCAAACGTTTTAGGATCATAAGTTTTAACTACTAATGAACAGTTAATATCTTGATAATAGGCAGGTAATAAGCCAGTAGTTAATAGCATGAGTTGTGACCTAAACTTAAGTGTTACCAAAGGCTTTACTGAAACCTTTTAATGCATCTCAGCTGAAAAAGACTTTTACAAAACACCACCATACTGGCCCTACACATTTGAATGGTATATGTGGCTTCTTTAAGAGGGAAACAATATTCAATGACAGATGATGTACTACATAGGACTTTTCGTCACACATGGATTGTATTAAAGGGAAACGGTTTCTGTATGACAGGTGGTTGAGAAATCTGGTGACACCAGTGGAAAAGGAAAGTCATTTCAGAGGCGGTGCAAGTTATTACCTTTTGTTAAAAGGCTGTCATAGATTAATCATTCACTCCACAGAAACGTCTATTGGAAAAGTACATTGGGTCAATTGTGAGTCCATACAGACTTGAGCATTGAAAGCTAAAATGGTTCTAGTTATTGTGGTGATTGTCTTTTTTATTGCCCTTCTGTCTGAAGTGTTATTGCTCCATCTGTACTGTTAAAATCTCTGTTAGGAGTGTGAGTGGTGTTTCAGTGTAGCTTCAATACAAAGTTTCTCAGTCTATAGAGCTATTATACCAGATTCATACTGTCTGTATTGTACATTCCTACACCAAATTATAGTTTTTAGCATGAAAAAATGTTTAACAATCCTTCAACAATTATTGTAGTTTGAAGATCTATTGTTTTTACTTGCAGATTAGAAACAGAAAGCATCAGGATTTATTTTTTTAATCAGCAGTCAGCCAGTCATTAGTTTGGATTGCTTGATGCAAATAACACATGAATATTTTATACTCTCTTGTTTTAGTCAATTTGGTGTCGCAGACTTGTTTGTGAATATTTTGTATTTTCCCGGTTGTTAATGCTGCAATTATTTCATGTAATCAGTCACAAGACAAAATGCTGAATTGAGCAGTGACATGAAAAATTTTTTTTCAATTCATCGCACTGGCTTCAAACACTTGAACTTTTCATGCTTTTTAGGGAGAGACAGAAGTAAGACCTCCCAGTAGAGAATCATCAGACGAGGAGAGAGAGGAGAAAGAACCCTGGCCTGATGAAAACAGCAGCTCCAGGTAAACATTCACTACCTTCAAACCTCACAGTGCCATACACTCACTGACCATCTTTAATAGGGGCACCTTTGCTAGGATCAAATAAGACCCCCTTATGTCTGGCATAGATTCCACAAGGTGCTATGAACATTCATAACCTTTATTATGGGCTATATTACATAGTTATGTATAACAGCACTAGTATGCAACACATACAACGCTACAGATGTCAGTTTGGGATGTTTGTTTAGTTTTTTTTTCATTTAATTACATATTTTACCAGTCCTTAAGCATTAAGCAGTTCAAATATCATGTTAAATTAATACCAAATGGCAGCTTTTCAACAGAGATGCATCATGCTCCTGTGAAAATAATAATAATAACTAATAATAGAAAAATAAAATACAGCATTTAATTTGTTTACAAAGGCTCAATGTTTTGTTTTTGGGAGACTATGTTATACATAAATTAATGTAAATCCTTTACAGATTTGTATCTGTATGACAAAAATAGATGTTTCATTTAGCCTACCATGACAATAATTAATGTATTGTTGGAATAAAAGTGAACTGCAATGCCTCCTGTTGCCTAAGTATGACATTTTTGAATGATAAACAAGATGGATAGCTTAAATTTTATAATAACTAAACTAAATGCGGTGTATCTGACGCTTTAATTGATGTATCCTAGTTTAATTTGCATATAGCACAGAATTTGAAGATAGGATTGATATTGGGCCAAATTTAAATGGATCCATTTTCACAAATCAAACAGCCATCTGATCAGAGAAAACGCATGAAGTGACCAGACTGGACAGGCCCAATATCTGACATAATCCTTCCTAATCCACATACGCCAGAGCCACACACATATATGCTGGGTCTGTTTGCATTTGCAGTGATTACTCCAGCGATTATTCCGACTGGACGGCAGATGCTGGAATAAACCTCGAACCACCCAAGAAGACCAGCGTAAAGAAAAAGAAGAAGAAGAACGCCAGCAGCTCTGAAGAAGATGGAGAGAAGAAAAAAGACTCCAAGAAGGAGAGGAGGAAAGAAAAGCCGGACAAAGATGGAGCGCTACCAAAGAAGAAGAAGCCAAAAGAGAAACGGAAGGTTGGTGCATCACTGTGTTTCTTATCTACACACACTTCTTTTTAGACACATTTCTACACACATTTCTTATTAGAAATTGCAAAATACATTTACTAAGTTCACTAGTTTATTGAAAAATTTGAGTACTGCACATACCTGCATTACAGGACAGTTCTTTGGTTTTTGTCATTTTTTCTTGATCTGTTAATGAGCAGATGACTTCCATTATATATTTGGTGAAATTTTCAATTTAAGCATTTTTGGAATCAAAAGACTTCATGAGATTTCATGCCAAGGAAAGTTTTGTTATTGCATTATTGCATATATTCCGATTGTTGCTTGTTTATATCGTATTCACCTTATTCTCTGTGTAAGAGCGGGCGCAGCCATTTGAATCTTTTTGGCACAAGACCTCTGGTCTCATTCATTTTAAGACTTTAAAACAGATTGTTTTGCTGCTTGATGTTGCAACCTGATATTTTCTAATTGTGTTATTCTACTTTGTCTCTATAGTCATGCAAACATTTGTTTGTAGAGCAAGTAGTTTGATCGTTTTTTGCGTCTATTATTCCTAGTCATTTCTCTCATAGGCAACTGAATCAGAAGTTCTAAAACAATCGCAAAATAGAGCACACTTCCACATTGAAGAATAAGGTCAATAAAGCGCTATAGAAATACAGGTTATTGATTTCACAGCTAGTACAGTTTATTGATGATTGAGCACCTTTTAAAATGAATTCACAATAACATTAAATTGATATGACAGTAAATAGATTTCACAATATTTTTTTTATCACCTCCTCATTATATTAATCACACATGCCATCTCATTTAATCTCCCGCTTTTCACTGACACCGTTGTCTCCTTGGTAACCAAGTGTTGGTAACTTTTAAAAAATCACAAAAATTCACAAAATTTGTGAAGAAAATTATGCAAAATCTTCATTCTTATAATTGTCTCTTTTTCCTGCAGTTAAAAATGAAAGGTATTTAGTTTATTGTCTTTTGATTGTATCATCAATTTTTTAATTTCAGATATTTTTCTTGCAGTGAGAATCTATAGATTTCTTTTTAATGGAGAGAAGATTTTTTTCAACACATTTCTAAACATAATAGTTTTAATAACTCATTTCTAATAACTGATTTGTTTTATCTTTGCCATGATGACAAGTGATAGTTAAATGCTTAGCTAGGTAAATTAGGTTAGCTAGGCAGGTTAGAGTAATTAGGCAGGTTATATAATGATGGTTTGTTCTGTAGACTATCAAAAAATATATAGCTTAAAGGGGCTAATAGTTTTGACATTAAAATGGTTTTAAAAAAATTAATAAACTCCATTTATTTTAGCTGAAATAAAACAAAAAGATTTTCTTTAGAGAAAAAAATATTATCAGACATACAGTGAAAATTTCCTTGCTTTGTTAAACCTCATTTGGGAAATATTTAAAAAAGACAAAAAAATTTAAAAGGGCGCTAATCTGATTTTAACTGTATGAGACTTGCTTTGTTTACCAAATAAGTGGATCTAAGTGGATTTATATTGTAAACAATTGAATAAAAATGAAAAAGGTATTACTTTTTATTACATATATGAAGTTTTTAGTTATGATACTACCTAAATCATTCCACAGATTTTTTTTCACTAAATCCTCCACAGAAATAGCTAAAAATGTCTGCAGATTCTGTCTGGCCCTAAAGTAAAAAACATGTTTGGATGTTGAAAGTTTTTAATTAATGAAGCTAAAATAAAAAAAAAAACCCTGGGACATGAAAGCATCATGTCCAGAAAGTTGAACTGCCTTGTTAAGAGAAATTTCGTTGTTAAGAGAATTGATCAGTTCTGTATATCCCTTTATATAAATATATATATATATATATATATATATATATATATATATATATATATATATATATATATATATATATATATATATATATATATATTTTTTTTTTTTTTTTTTTTATAAAAGTAGAAAAAATCTACAGTATTTAATTCAAGAGCTGAAACACTACAAACAATTTAACTTATCCAATTCACCTATAGTGCATGTCTTTGGACTTGTGGGGTAATCGGAGAACCCAGAGGAAAGCCTAGACTCGAACCAGTTACCTTCTTGCTGTGAGGCGACAGTGCTAACCACTGAGCCACCATGTCGCCCCAAGCATATAAATCACATATTATAAATACAATTTTACCTTTACAAAGATAAACATATTGGTATTAATGTTTCTCTCAATCCACAACACATCCTGCAAATACAATGTTATTCGGAAAATAAGAGTAGTATTTAATGTATATAAAAATATGTAATTAATAAACAGTTTTTCAAGCAACAAATCACTAAAATATATATTTTAAAATGTTTGCTTGTATATAATTATTGTGCATTTTATTTTACAGAAAATACACAAACTGTTTTTTTTTTTGTTTTACTGAAGTGTGTATTTTTATGTCCAGAGGATACCTGAATTGCAGAATCAGGGTTTGACGTTAGAGGAATGGCTGCCCTCCAACTGGATCACTGACACTATGCCACGGAGATGCCCTTTCACCCCACAGATGGGCGATGAGGTAAAAAACAAACAAACAAACAAACAAAAAAAGACAGTCTGCTGAATCATAATTAAAGCATGAAGTGGTGTGGTGTGGTGTTGTGAAACATGATCGCAATATTGATCATCCTGTTGTGTTTGTGAACAGGTGTATTACTTCCGTCAAGGTCATGAAGCTTATGTGGAGATGGCCAAAAAAAACAAGATCTTCAGTATAAACCCTAAAAAACAGCCCTGGCACAAGTTAGAGCTCAGGGTAAGTCTGCAACTGAAACTAATATTAATTTGTCATGAAACCTTGTCAATATTAGCAGTGTTCCTGCACAGCTCTGATAGAAAAAGGGTTCAGAAAAGTTTCAAGCTGTGGTTGAGTGTACAACGAGGAAAAGGTTTGCATAAAAATAGCAGTATAGCCCTTTCAAATGTTAGTTTTAAATACTCCCGCTGACTCTGGATAAGTGATCAATGTCATTTTAATTGTTTAAAAATACTTATTATTTCCATCTCCATAGACACCAGCTTGTGTTTTACAACCATAAATGGTATGTTTTGCTGGTACTTACAGTCAAAATGATTAGCCCTCCTGTTTCTTTCCCCCAAATATTTCCCAAATGATGTTTAACAGAGCAAGGGATAAAGTTTTAATTTAAAAAAAGACATTTTAAGGTCAATATTATTAGCCCCCTTAAGCAATATTTTTTTTCAATTGTCTAGAAAACAAACCATCGTTATTGTTACAGTCACAAAAGATCTAACTACTGTATATCACTAGAGAACTACAAAGCTGCCACATATATGAACTACAACTTCCAGCATGCACCGCGCACACACCCGTTCATGATCCCGACTAATTGCAAACACGCAGAGCTGAAGCTGCTCAAGGACTCATTACATGGATATACAGCACTTACACACAATGACATGGCTGAGTCTTGTTGTTTCTGGACACTTTATGAAGCATTTCTCCTTGCCTTGCCTTGTTTAAGTCTTTGCTTTGATAATTGGTTTTGATTATAGCCGCCGGAACTCACCTTTTTGCCCCTTTTTGACTTCTCTTTTGGATTGCCCACATAATACTGTTTGCTACTGTGCTTGACCATTGCTTGCCTGACCACTCTGTCTAAATAAAGACACTGTACTTGGATCCTCATCTCCATTGTCACTTTCATACTTTTAAAGTTATACAATGCCTTTAAATTGCACTTTAAGCTGAATACTAGTATCTTCAAAAATAACTAGTAAAATATTTTTTACTGTCATCAGAGCAAAGATAAAATAACTCAGTTATCATAAATGAGTTATCATAACTATTATGTTTAGAAATGTGTTGCTCAAATCTTTCCGTTAAACAGAAATTGAGGAAAAAATAAACAGGAGGGCTAATAATTCAGGAGGGGCTAATAATTCTGACCGTAACACTGGACATATATATAGTTATACCAATGCATAACTAACATATACTATAAAATACTTAGCTATACACATAAGAGAGGCTATACAAGTACTTTTTTATATAATTATTTTTAGGGGTTTTTCACCTTTATTATGATAGGACAGTAGAGAATTCAGACAGGAAAGCATTGGGAGCAAAGAGAGGGCAAGGATCGGCAAAGGACCTCGAGCTGGGAATCGAACTCGGGTCGCCGTGGGCACATTGGTGCTATATGTCAGCGCGCAGTACCACTATATGGAGAATGGTGTGTGTGTGTGTGTGTGTGTGCAAGAGACATTTGCACACTTATCTTGACGTCTGAGAAAATCAAAATAAGTACCTCAGCTCTCAGAACATAGTATACATAGAAAGTTTATTTATGCATGCACACACTATACTCTGTTGTTTTACTTCATAGAACTCCATTTAAAAGCCAAAAACGTTTTTTGCACAGGCCGATGTAAAGGGTTAATGCTGTCAACTGATGATCAACAGTCAAAACACACATTTTACCTCTTCCTAAAAAGGAAAACCACCAACAATCTAGAATGCTCATGCGTAATTATATGGAAGTATAATATAATATATAATGGAAGTCAATGGGGCAAAAACAGCCACAAACATATCGAAAGGGTAGTCAATTTGAACAGTACACAAGGGTTGATCAAACTGATTAAAAATATTAAGTTAAACTTTGTATAGCTTAACAAATATATTAAAATACGTTAAAGGAACATAAAAAGATCTGTTGTCTTGACTTTTGGTTTTATGACCCTGTGACCTGGCAGCATGGTGAAACACAAAGAAAATGACTTGTGATTGTGTGCCTATAGGAGCAGGAGCTGTTGAAGATTGTGGGCATTAAGTACGAGGTGGGTTTGCCTACTCTGTGCTGTCTGAAGCTGGCCTTCCTGGACCCAGACTCAGGCAAACTGACGGGCGGCTCATTCTCCATTAAGTGAGTTCAGTCTGCGTGAGTCACAGGCTCTTATTCAACATGATCTGTGCTGAGTGGCTTTTAACCCTTGCCTTGCATCTCTATTGGTGACTCAGATATCACGACATGCCTGATGTCATCGACTTCCTGGTTCTTCGGCAGCAGTTTGATAACGCAAGACAGAGGAACTGGATGATAGGTTTGTGCCCAAATTGAGTGTTTCTGCTTAACTGTTTATTTATATGGGTTTAAATGGGTCAGTGATAGAAATGACTGTGTGGGAGAATGGAAAAGATCTTTGCAAATATAATTTTTTGTAATGTTGTATTTGTGTTTTTCTTGGTTTTATGCATGTTATACTAAGAAAAGCTGCAGTTTTGCTTTAATGACCAAAACGTTTTGAGAATTAAACAAGAATTGTGTAAAAGGTATGTGTCTAAACTCAATTTGACCTGAAATAACCCTTAAAAATTGTCCATGAAATGGAGTCATGGGGTGAACTTTCTGTGATAATTTATGTTTTGATTACTTTTTTTTTGGATGACAAATTGGCTTTATTTCTGTGCATAAAAATATAATAATTAAACTTAAAATATCACAGTTTAATACATAAAGGAAAAAACTTAACACAAAATTGCTTCTTTCATCTTTTTAACCATTTGTTTGATTAGAAAAACTTACTTGTGTTGTATGCTTGTTAGGGAACCCTGTTACTTAAATGTTGCATTTACACAATAAAATAATAAATTAGAATTGCAAAGAACATATGCAGTAGAAATGTGAAACATACATATTCAGATACCTCACTATATGCAGTGATGTCTAACTTTACTGTAGTTTTCAAATGGCTGTGCAAATATTATATAGTGCTGTCTTGAGCTTTTTCAGGAAGTGTCCCCAAAATCTTTTTCTTTTTTGCGGGGAAAATATTTACAAAGCAAACTGTCATAATGAAAACATGCCAAAGCCATATGACTATCTTGTTCATAAACAATGGTGTCAGGACTTTTTATCTTGATGACACTGACACTTTCATTGACATGAATACTTGCTTTTTAGGAATGAGCTATCCGTTTTTGCAGGTTATCAACTAGGTTTTGCAGTTTGTACTAATTGTTTTGAGAAATGCATCATCTGCAAATGTAAATAGTGTTTTGAGAAATGCACCTGTGCAAGTGACTGAGAAAAACTGTAATTAGGGATGTCCCGATCAGATTTGTTTGCCCTTGAGTCAGAGTCATTTTGGATTTTGAGTTTCTACCGATACCGAAACCGATACCTCTAATACATTAAAAAAGAATAAAGAAGATCGAAGAAACAGATCCAGGATGTTCCTTATTTTTTTATTTACGTCTTCTTATTTTAACATTGAACAACTCTGTTAACAAACAGAGCACTTCTGTGAGGTAGCTTGAACAATCAAGTAATAAATAACATCAATTTTTCAAATTTGGACTTTAGTGCAACCGTAAATACAAAAAAAAAAATCTAATATAAAAACAAATAGCACCTCAACTTAAAGCACCCGACAGGCAATCCCAAGTTTTCATATCTCATAGTTTACTATGGCAATGTTGTTGTCATCAACTTTTTAATACATCTAGACTGCAAACATACTCGTGCTTTGGACTTTGGACAAGCTGTTTCTGCAACAAAGTGATGTCATGCCACATTCATTGCAGTTACTGTGTGAAGTCAAGAGAAGTCACATACACTGTGGAAAAGAGGTCCTCGCATAACTATTAAAAAATAATGTTAAAAAATTATGAAAAATAATATAAATAAATAAATATATTTCCATCCATTAAAAAAAAAAAAAAAATATATATATATATATATATATATATATATATATATATATATATATATATTTTTTTTTTTTTTTTTTTTTTAATGGATGGAAACCTGCCGTGTATAATGTCTAGTGTTTTTTATGCACCTGCTGAAGCAGCATATACTATTAATCTAGGGATTTAAGAATCTGTGTTGATTCAGTGAAAACCAGACCTTTCAGCATGTACTGGGTTAAAACAACACAATTTTAAACATGTGATAAACCAAAAGAGCTGTACCCAAAATTAAGTCAGTAAGAATACATACACCCCTAATATAAATATGTTTACCTTGCATTTCTCTGTCAGGTGATCGTTTCCGGGCAGTGATTGATGATGCCTGGTGGTTTGGTACGATTGAGAGTCAAGAGCCGTACCAGGCCGAATATCCAGACTCTCTGTTCCAGTGCTACAACGTCTGGTCAGTTCTGTGTCCATTTTACACATTTTTATGCATAAATCACTTCTCTTCATTTCACTTCTCTGCCTCTTTGATTTTTAAGTTTAAAGCCAAATAGGATGTGTATAGAAGCTTAGATAATAATCTTGTGTGTTTAGTATAATGTTACAGATATAACAGTAAATGAACTTGACAGCTTTGTGTTAATGTGTGATGCAGCTGGGATAATGGAGATACTGAGAAGATGAGCCCGTGGGACATGGAGGAGGTTCCTGATGAAGGTTTAACATGTTCCTCACGTAGATCTTTGTCTAGACAGATCCATCAACAAGCTTAAATTCAACATTAAAATCTATATTTTAATTTAGCATGGATGCATTAATTGTCAAATTTACAGTAAAACTTTAGTCAAATAAACAGTTTAAACCTTAAAGTCTTCACAGGATCCTGAAAACAAAAAAATATGATTTTCACAAAATATTATGCAAATTTAAATACTAATGATTGTCAAAAAATATTTTATCCAAATTATCATTAGAATTATTTGTGAGGAGTCATGTGAAACTGTAGACTGGAAAAATCACATTGAAAATTCAGCTTTGTAACATACAGGGTATCCGCTGGGTCTTAAAATGTCTTAAAATTCAAAAACTAAATTTTAGGCATTAAGAAGTTTTAAATTTACTGAAATATTGTCTTGTTGGTCTTAAATTATTTTAAAAATTGTCTTAATTTTCCTTTGTTTATGTAAAGCTATATAATCTATCTGACACACATCCAATCACCAACAATACATCTCACCAAAACTCTATTCATAACTAATATTATAACCCACTGTCATGCATACATTTACATTTAAAGATTTATTTTTAAGTAATCTAAAAGAAATATGTATACAACTAGGGTCTGCTTGTTTTGATACACTATTTAATATATGTGACCAAGAAATGACTAATTAGAATTAGTTTTTTGATAGGCCAAGTACATTTTATTTGCTGGGCCATTCAAAAAGTCATTAGTGCTTAGCCTTAAATTAGTCTGAAATTTCAAGATTTTTAAAAAGATCTTAAAGTCTTACATTTGACTTAGTGAAACCTGCAGAAACCCTGACCACATAATGTACCACTAAAATTACAAAAACATTACACAATGTCTCAGACTTTTATAATGTATAATTCAGTTGAAGGATTTGCCATTAAAAAGGCTTTTTTATCATTTACAAAAATAATATTTTAGCCGTTCACTGAACCACCTATGCTGATGCACAAATCTAACAAAACAGAAACGGATGTAAGAATACATTGAGAGAGTGCATAAACTGTGCTAAATATAATAATGTCAACCATATTTAATTAATCTCATAGCACATTAATTTTCACAGCTCTAATATAAGCACATAAGCACACGTCGAGCAATATAAACACCTCTGATTACATACACTGTACCAGACTCCTGGTTATTAGATATGTTCAGCCTTGATAAAAGATCTTGAGTGCACTTACATAAGTAACTGAATGATTTAATGTTTTTATTATAAATTATATTATATTTAATATATTATTTATTACTATTTTTATTTATTATTTAACATTTTTATTTGAAAGTAATTAAGTATGTTTACCAAGCATGCTCTTTCCCATTGGATGTGGATAATTTTAGGCTTTTATTGTGCTTGTGGTGACATTTGGTCCTTGTGACATCAACAACGCAGGCGAGTTAGTGCTCATGGCAACCATCAGATTGAGAGTATCAGCTGTTCTGATGTCCAGCTGGCTTTATTTTAATAAGCAATACAGTCAGAGCTGTGATAGTGTCTGGTTTTCTTCTGTCTCATTGTCTCTGTCTGTCTGCAGTAGTATTTCCTGAGGAGCTAGGCCTCAGTATGGCTCTCACTCAGGACGAGCAGAAGGCCTTACTGTACAAGCCGCTGGACGGAGAGTGGGGCTCACGAACACGCAACCAGGAGTGTGAACGCATCATCAGGGGCATCAACCAGCTTTGCACTCTGGGTATGGTCTTATTATTTAGCATTAAGATGATATCTGTGATAATAACACTCACAATGCTGTGGTCAGAACTGTATTTGAGTCCTTAATATAGTTGCATTCACACACATTTCAAATGTTCACTTATTACATTGAAAGGACTCACACAGTTATATTTTAAGGAAAGCCTTGCCATTTGGTGATCAACCTGTTCGATGTTTTGGATGGAGCTCTGTGAAACTAAGATAGTCAGGGTTTATATGGTCCTGGAAAACTGGAAAGGTCATGGAAAATAACCAAGGCATTTTCCAGGCCTGGAAAAGTTTTGGAAAAAACAAATAAACCCAACATGTTTTGGAAAAGTCGTGAAAATTTGTTTAACAAGCATCTGTGTACTTGAATATATTTGAGATGATAATATTGGGTAAATTTTGAAAATAATTTCGCTGGCTGTCTTTTCACAACTCGCAGTTTTAGCTTCACCTCTCTTTCACTCGCTTTCATCGTAATTCAAGAAACATTTTAAGTGTCATGTCCAGAAACAATCTCTAATAACTACAGAGGTAAGATACTGTGGGTGCTAAAGGCTAATTTATGAGACAATATAATATCATTTAAAACACAAGCAAACATTTATAAAATATTTTCACACGGACAGCAAGATACTTTTTGAATACTATTTTGCAGATGTAAAACTAAATGTAAACTACACAGATTGTCACATATTTGTTGATATGCTCTAATAATTTTGAACATACATTTTGTTTAGCATGTGTACATAGACATTACATAAAACATAGAGAATATTTACCTCAGTTTTGCAAAAGTCATGGACAAGTCCTGAAATGTTTATAGTAAAAATGTGTATGAACCGTGGATAGTATTATCTGAATATTTTTTGGGATTTATTTTAGTTGCAGTAATCAAAGAGCAGTGTTTGCTTTAGGATTTTTTTCCAGCTGTGATGGCAGGTCTTTTACACAGATCTTCTAACTATCTTTAACATTATTTAAATGATAAAAGTCGTGAGCTCAGTACTACAAGTTGAGATTGCATTAATGTAATACAAGCATGCGTGTCTCTTTGTTTGCAAACAGTTTGTTGAATAAACGTGTTTTTGAAAAATAAAATAAGCATCTTTAAAATGTCAAAATATGAAAATAACATCTATACAGTGCAATAACACTTAGAAATAATATCTTACAAATATAAAATGCAACACATAAACATATATATTTTACTCTTTATTTATTTTTACTTTAATGCAGACAGTATTCCAATATTTCTGTCTTTTTTTTTAATACTCACAATTTACACAATTTCTGTACTCAGACCTTTGAATCAAAGTGGTTGCCAGTCCTGAACACTGACAGTGTGAACATAGCACAAATCCTTCTAAATAACAATAGCAGCACAACCAATCTATGTACTTGGAATGACTGTTAAAATGATTTTCCACTGGTTGAACAATGCAGACATAGAGAGCCAGTGTAACTTCATCCTGCTTTAAACAGCTTAAGAATTAAAGGTGCTGTTATAACATACAGCCGGTTTTTGTGCTTTGTTGTCGACACTGATGCAGTTGTTGTTAGTTATACTGTAGTTCTTTACATAAAAACTGAAGGCACTTTTCCACTGCATGGTACAGACGGTTGGTTTTACTAAGGCTCATTTGGGGGCATCCTAGAATCTGGACTTTATAGTACCTCAGGTGAAGTTTTAAGCAAGCCAAACCATTACCAAAACTTAATGCATATACACTGCTGATCACTGATTGTTCTGAGAGAATTGTCACTAACAGCATCATTGGATTTGTGGCATGAAACACCAAACCTGTTATATTTAGTAGGCAGCCACTGCTGTTTAGTTGATTTGCATGACTAAACCTTGTGAAATGGCAGCATTGAGGTCAATAGAAGAGGTCCAGATGTTCCTCTTGTTGAGAAGTAAATCCAGCTGGTTGGATGGTATGACCCAGACTGATGTCACATAAGGAAAGGTGCCACTACTATAGTGGTAATCCCATCCACTGTAAGAGGTGCTAAACTGAAGTGGAAATGCAAACCGAGCTGAGTTGTGGCGAACTGTCACAAAAGCCGTCTCTGAATCTAAATCCACTATAACAGGTTCTTTCTGTCTTCCAGATGTGGCGAAACCATTTGAGCTGCCCGTGGATTTGCAGGCATATCCAACATACTGCACGGTGGTCGCTTACGTCACAGATCTGAGCACTATCCGACAAAGATTAGAGAACCGTTTCTATAGGTCAGTGCAAACAAAAAGACAATCAAAGGCCTACATGAACTCTGGATATATTTCTAAAATTCACTTGTGTTTGTAATGTAGATGGTAGTGAATTTATATGTGCATTTGTTTTTTTTTCCTGGTGATGTTTTCTCAGGCGCATGTCATCGTTGATGTGGGAGGTTCGCTACATCGAACACAATGCTCAAACCTTCAATGAACCTGGCGCGTTCATTGTCAGAACTGCCAAATTCGTATCGGACCTCATGCTACAATTTATCAAGTAAGTCAATCATACATGAAAATCACAAGGAAAGTGAAGCAGTAGTACTGAATTGGGATGAGTGGTACTGTATATTAAATATTGGCCATTGTTGTTTTATTTAATTGGTGTCATCTGTATTGCAATATCCAATTAAGCTATGCCAATATTTGTGTATTATACGTTTATACTACGTTTGCTATTTTTTATAGCTGAATTCAAGTTACAATAAAAACACGCTGTTAAATTTAATAGTAAGCAAATCTCAAAATAAATATATTATAAGACTTACTACTTTTTAAAGCATTTAAGTTGTTTGATTTTAGTTGTTTTTCTAAAGTTCTGTAGTATTTACTTTGTATTAGTATAGTATTTATTATTTTAAAAGTATATATGGTAACACTTTATTTTGATGGTCCATTTGAGTATTAGTAGACTGTCTGTTTAATATCTGTTGATACTGCTGCTAAACAGACATTTATCTGACTATAAGAAACTTTGCAAGTAGAGGTCAACTTAAACTAACCCTAACCTCAACCCCCAACCACAACCTAACAGTCTACTCATAATCTAAAGAGAATTAATCGGCATGTAGATGCAATGTAACTTAAAGTCAACAAACTTATCAAAATAAAGTGAAGTGTGACCATATATATATATTCTAATATCTGCCATTTATTAAAAAAATGTATCTATTCATCATATAATTTATCATTTTGTCTGTCTGTCTTTGTATTTCTCTTTCAGGGACCAAAGTTGTACAGATATTATTCCTCTATATAACAGTATGAAGAAAACCGCTTTCTCAGACTCAAGTGATGTAAGTGCCATTGAAACTCACATAAACCACTTGTATGTGAATGAGATTTTATATATTATTTAGCACTTCTAACGAGTTCTTTTACAGCCATGCAAGTACTGGGCATTCATGAACATAAATATGTATTTACATGTAAAAGGTAGTCACCATCATCAAGCCATCACAGGTGACTTTTTCAGTTGGACATTAGTGAAGATGTTTTAAGAGAAATTGTGGTTCTTGGTGATTCATATATTGCAAGTTAATGGCTACTTGCACTTTAAGGGTCAAAAAATACAAATAAAAAACATACAGAAAAACGTTCACGAAAATACCTCCTGACTCCTGATGATACACAAAGGTTTGGTGAAATGCAAGAAACTAAAATCATGACTAAGCTGCAAGTTTTCATTTTTGTTTGTTTTTTTCTCTCCCCCAACTTAGGATGAAGATGAAGATGAAGACGAAGAGCATGAGGCTCCTTGTACATCTAACCGCAATAAGAAGGTAAAATATTAAGTTTCCTTATAGTTGCTTCTATGCATTATGCATACACATAATGGCTTACGCAACTAATGTTGTATTGGTGTTTCAGAGGCAGCAGCAGCAGCCCATGTTGAGAAGTCTGCGCAGTAAACCCTCGTCAGACCCTCAGGCCTGGAAGGAGCGTTGTAGAGAACTGCTGGAGCTCATCTTTCAGTGTGAAGATTCAGAGCCCTTCAGACAACCTGTGGATCTGGATGAGTATCCGGTAACACTCAGATGCGCACACACTATTGTAAATTATAGCTTTAGCATCAGACGGGGAATTAAGAGGGAAACTATAGTCAGTAATTATTATTATTTATGTTTTATTACAGTTTTAGTCACTGTTTCAGATCGCCTGATGACTGTTAGATATTCAGTATGGAACTTTTGGGTTTTCTAGAGTTTAGTAGATAAAACAGCTTCTTGCAGAAAAATATTGTAGCCGGAGTTTCAGTTTATGGATGAGACACTGACATATATAAAGTAGACCCCAGTATGAACACTTATTATAGGCTCACTAAAACAACAACACAGTTGGTTTCAGGATGTTCTCTGTGATTTATATATATTAGTTAGGTAGGTATTATGTTAAATTAATATGTTAGATAGTAATATCGGAAAATAATTAGATGTTATGTGAAATAAATAAATGTTCATTCATCATTCAGTTTCTTTTCGGCTTAGTCCCTTTATTATTCTGGGGTCGATACAGCGGGATGAACAACCAACTTATCCAGCATATGTTTTACACAGCAGGATGCCCTTCTACCTGCAACACAACACTAAGAAACATCCATAAACACTCATTCACTCACATACACTGTGGACAATTTAGCTTACCCAATTCACCTATACCACGTCTTTGGACTTGTGGGGGAAACTGAAGCACATGGAGAAAACCCACGCAAACACGGGAAGAACATGCAAACTCCATTCACGCGACATTCTTGCTGTGGATGAAAAACCTTTATTTTTTTAAATTATGTCAAGTCCTGATCATATTAAAGAAGATAAAAATACTGATTAGGAATAAGACTTGCAGTGCACTGCCTGCTTATATGCCCTGCTCATACTAATACCTCTTTCAGGACTACTTGGATATTGTGGACACTCCAATGGACTTTGGGACAGTCTTGAACCGCCTGTTAGCAGGAGAGTATGACACTCCCATGGATCTCTGTAAAGATGTCCGTCTCATCTTCAGCAACTCCAAAGCCTACACGCCCAGCAAAAAGTCCAGGGTATGAGATCACGTCCAGTTAATTCCCTACAGTATTAATAACACTTTGGCCATCATCTCAGCAGTTAAGTTCATGAAATACATGCGGGTTGTTTTGTGTATGCAGATCTACAGCATGAGCCTGCGATTGTCTGCTCTGTTTGAAGAGCACATCAGTTCAATCCTGACTGATTTCAAAGCTGCCCAAAGTTTGCACAGTGAACGACTCACCCGACAGCGACTGCACACCGATCGCCTGACCAGACAGTCTGTGAAAAAGAGGAGAAGGAGGAGCTCTTCACATTCAAGCTCCGCCTCTAGGTACAGACAGCATCTGATTGGTCATTTCAGAATATGATGTGCTGGTTTCAGTTTTTAAACTTCTGGTGTTTTTACATGAAAGAGGATTTAAATTTCCAACTTTCTGTCTAACTACAATCCTATCACAAATATCATTGATTTATCATTGGCATTAATAAAACTAAGATGCCTTTTTTACAGTCCAGAAAGGAAGAGGCGAGTCTCCTCTCGTGCTCCTCCTCGATTGGACAGTGCAGCTCCACCCACTCCTGCTGGACCGTCCCGAGCTCCTTCTTTACGACAAACACATCCACAGATCAACGGCAAGGCTGAGACTCCCGTCGTACCTGGTCGGACTCGCAGCTCGGCCCGTTTTGGAAGCCCCATCACAGACGCGGCTCCTGCACAATCGGCTCCTCCACCTCTAGTAGAGTCCTCCTCCTCCAGAGTCCTGCGCACACAGAACCCCCACTCCACTGCAGTCTCTAGAGAAAATGAGAGCTCCGCTGTTCCTCCCAGCAATGGAGGAGGAGCAAGAGAGTCCCGCAGGAAACTGAGGACACCTGTCAAACTCACACCAGGTCGGTCAATGCTTCTGTCTGTTCTCAAAATCTGGTGTTTCTATGTGCTCCTTTTTTATATAGTCTTTTCTGAAATTCTTAGTTATCTTCATTTTGGTAGCTGAACTGCAGAACTTACTTTTTCAACAGACTTGTTTTTAAAAGTTAGCATTGCCAGTTCTAAATCACATTGTCAGGTACTGTCATTTAAACAGGAAAAAAGCATTAAAAATGATTAAAAATGTCATGTAAACACCCTCTTAAAAACTGTTGTCCTTAAAGGATTTTATCTTTTGAAGTCCAAATTTAAATTCCATGTATATGAACAACTGCCAAGGGTCTGATTTCTTTAGAACACACTCACCAGCCACTTTATTAGGTACACCTTAGTAGTGCTAGGTTGGACCCCCTTCTGCCGTCAGAACTGCCTTAATCCTTCGTGGCAGAGATTCAGCAAGGTACTGGACATATTCCTCAGATTTTGGTCCATACTGACATGATAGCATTGACGTGATCGAGAAAATTGAGAAATCAAGATTTATCAGACCAGGCTTCTCTCTTCTGTTTTGGATTTTTTTAACAGTTTTTTATTGTCCAATTTTGGTGGGCCTGTGCGAATTGTAGCCTCAGTTTCCTATTCTTAGCTGACAAGATTGACACCCGGTGTGGTCTTCTGCTGCTGTAGCCTTTCTGTCTCAAGGTTGGATTCAAGGTTGTTGTGCATTCAGAGATGCTCTTCTGCATACCTCGGTTGTAACGAGTGCTTATTTGAGTTCCTGTTGCCTTTCTATCAGCTCGAACCAGTCAGGCCATTCTTCTCTGACCTCTGGGATCAACAAGCCATTTGCATCCACAGAACTGCCGCTCACTGGATATTTTCTCTTTTTCTGACCATTCTCTGTAAACCCTAGAGATGGCTGTGTGTGAAAATCCTTGTAGATCAGCAGTTTCTGAAATACTCAGACCAGCCTGTCTGGCACCAACAACCATGCCACGTTCAAAGTCACTTAAATCACCGTTCTTCCCTATTCTGAGGCTCAGTTTGAACTGCAACAGACCATGTCTACTAAATCTACAATTGAGTTGCTGCCATGTGATTGGCTGATTAGAAATTTGCGTTAACGAGCAGTTGGACAGGTGTACCTAACAAAGTGGCAGGTGAGTGTACATTTTAAAAAAAAAGTTGTTATTTTGTTATTGAATAAACTGGCAGGGGAAAAAATATTATCACTTTGGAAATAATTGAGTAAGAATTTAAATTTCACAGGAGAGCTCGTAATTCTGCCTTTAACTTTATGTAAATGTTTCATCTGTACTTACATGCTCATTCTCTCTTAGGTCCAGTTGATCACAGCTCTCCTCCTCAGAACAGTTTGCATTTGAATGGTCACAGTCAAGTGACTGTAGGAATGGTACGAAGAGGCCGGGGCAGACCCAGATTAGACACACAAATAGAGACGCCGGTGGACACGCCGCCACCTCCACTGCCTAAGACCTCTTCTAAAAAGAAAGAACGAAAAAGCAAAAAAGACACGGAGTCCCCACGACGAAATTTCTCCCACGAGGAGGAGCTTATGTTGCCCACCGGGGATGATGGCGGGGCTTCTTCAACAGCCCAAGACAGTAATCTTTCAGATTCGGGAGAGTATCCGAAAACACGAGGCAGACCACGAATCACAAAGACGATAGACACTCCAGCTCCTCCAAGCCCTAAAACTCTCCGGCGGAGCAGTCGACGTGGCAACGAAGAGATCACGCCCCATACATCTGGCTCCGCCCAGAGTGAGGAGCCTGAGGTTTATATTGAAGACGGGAGCTCGAAAGGCCAGATGAAAACACGCAACCAGGGCCGAAGGACTGCTTTCTATAATGAAGAAGACTCTGAGGAAGAGCAAAGACAGCTTTTATTTGAGGACGCCTCCATTACTTTTGGGACGTCCAGCAAAGGGAGAGTCCGCAAGCTCACAGAGAAGGCCAAAGCCAATCTTATTGGCTGGTAACATTGCCAACTTTGCATGTCCTCTGCGACACAACCCTCAATCCCGTCCTGTTGGGAAAGGGGGAAACCATTCCTGCTGCTATATCAGACTGTCACGATTATTTGAATCTTTCACTTTTGAACTCTTTCAAGAGTCGCTGCCCCCTGAAATCCCCCACCTTATACCTTTTCTTCCACAAAAAAAAAAACAAATCACAAATGCAGTTGAATACTGATTTTCAAATGCACTATTTTGAATGGCAGTGTGAAAGGTACTGAAACACGAATCCAAAATCCTGATTTCATTTCTCAAGAAAGCACTTACGTGAGGATGTGTGTGTATGTGTGTGTGTTTGTGTGTGTGTGTGTGTATGTGTGAAATAACTTGAGCTTTTACTCCGTCTTGTTTCTTTAAACTGTTAATTTTATGCATCGTTTTTACACAGTTGTTGCTAAAGGCAACAAATCAAACACTTGTTGGGAAAGAGTCTATTTTTAACAGATCATTGTGGCTGTAAAGCTGTAGTGGAGCGCAGAGAAGAACCTCATAAATCTCTGTTGTTGTTTTATCGGCTTTGTCTCTGCAAGTCAAGATCAGTGGCAGTGGTAATTCACGCATGGTTTTATATAATTAGCAATACCCTGTGCCTTTTCATACTTATTATCAATACATTATGGCTCCTTTGTACTCCCCAGTGTTTGTGTGTGTGCGTGTGTGTGTGTGTGTGATGCTTTAGGATATTGAGGTATTCAGAAAAGCGTGTGTTGTTTAACTGTTGCTGGGATTGAGCTTAGTGAGCAGCATTTCATGACCACTGTATGTGTGTGTGTGTGTGTGTGTGTGTGTGTGTGCTGGTTTTGGTGGTTTAACGAGGACATTTATTTGTATAATGACATGGGTATGACCAAGGTATTACAATTATGAGTTTGTTTATTAGGACATGTCCTGTAATTAATAACTGTTCAAAATTATACGTGCACGGGGTCTTTTTATGTTCAAAATTTGCCACAGATTTCCTGTGAGGGTTGGGTTTAGGGACAGGGTTAAGTGATATAATAAGCAGATTATAGAGTATTAATTGCAATACTTCAAGGGAAAGTTCTTATATACCACTAAAACAAGTATGTGTGTGTTGAGTTCATGCAGTTGTTGAGGTGTGTGATGGTCATGGCATCATCCCTCCGCACCCAGAATGCACTGTGATCCCTAACTAGAAGTTAAAGTGGTTGCAAAAAGTGTTTGGGCACGTATGGCATAGTTTCAAAATAACTGAACGTCATTGCATTAGAGATAGATGTAAATGTAGTGTCTGTTGGAATATACTTGCAGATTACCTTGAATATGTTTGAAATGATCCATTACATGTTTAATTATATTAATGTCGATATTAATTTATAACTGATTTATATTTATAATGATTTGTTAGCCTTTGCAAACACAAAGTTTATATAGTTTTAGCATCAAAGTGTCAGCACCTTCATATCAAATATTTATACAACACCAACATTTGAGGTCGCTCAAATGAGTCTTCACTTAAAGGTTTTGATGAAAGAATCTCTTATGCCCAATAATGCTGCATTTACTTCATCAAAAAGTCCAGTAAAACAGTAATATTGTAAAAAATCATGTACAAAAATCTGTTTTCCATTTGAATATATTTTAAAATGTTATATATTCCTGTTTTTCAGTCTTTTGTTTCACATGATCCTTCAGTCGAATATGCTAATTTGCTGCTAATGTGTTGTGCTGCTTAATGTGATGGAAAACATGGTACATTTTTGACTATTTATTAACAGATGAACAGCATTTGTTCTGAATAGAGTCTTATATAAACAATATAAATTTCATTTATTTTACTCTTAAAACATTTACTTTTTATCTTATTTATAAAGCACGTTAAAACAACAGTTGTTGACCATTGTGCTGTACATACCTTGGGTTATAAATGAGCAAAAATAAACAACAACATATAAAACAGCATACAGTACAACCAACATAACCAAAACATCAAATGCATACAGCAGAAACATAGAGAGGCACAAAAAGATCAGTTTCATTCCAATTTAAAAGCTTTTTCTAAAAGATGTAGTTTGAACAAGGATTAATACATTAAACCATTAAATCCAACATTAAATGTGTTCGTGCTAAATAAAAAGATGCCATTTTAATAACAACATAATAATAAATAACCATTAGTAAGAAAAAATCTTACTGATCCTAAACATTTCAGTGATAGAATACAACTCACTGAATAATAATTGCATAATGACAATTGCATGTTAATTAAACACCAGTCTTAACATTAGTAAATTAGAGTATTTTAATTTTAAAAATCATCTGAAGTCTCTAATACAAGCGGGGTGCATGTCACAAAAAGAACAATGTAGTGACGAGTGTTTGCCAAAACCCGTTGCTTCTCTGTCGCAGACCCATCGTTTGAACCACGTTATTTATAACGTACAACGCCCATAATGATGCTTTAAACGGGGTGGTAACAACTTCTTTTGAGAGTTTTAGTAATGTTTTCAGTACACTATGAAGGGAACGCAATTATCAAGACAAAGATCGCTAAAACTGAACTGTAAAAATACTTTAAATGCAAATTACACCTAAAAGTGGTGACTTTAATGCTTTTTAAAAAAATCATTCCAAGTTTAAATGTTAGAATGTTCTAAATAAATAAGGCATATGGGGGATAACTGGGAATTGAACACAGCCAGGAACTATGTTTCTAACTACAGCTCCAGAGGTGTAGTTGCAAGCAAACAAGTTTGAGATGCAGTTTGCGAATATTTGTTGTAACAATGGAATTGGTAAACGGAAACTCAACAAACTATGTTTATAATGACGGAACTTGCGACCTTAGTTGGCTAACGATGGTTTTCAGAAACGCACACCAGGAGAGTTGTAGTAGTTCAAAGTATTACCTACAAACATGTGAAACAACCAGAAAGTGACCAGATATTAATAAAATAGTTAATAAAACGACTTTCTTTCTTCTTTTACAGGCATAGTTCAGTCAAAAAAATGTTCCAAACCAGTTTTTCCAAATAAGTCTTTCCTATAGATGTCAGTGGTTTCCAACATTCTTTAAAATATCTTCTTTTATTACAAACAGAAGAAACTCATCTGAATGTAAGTGCATTTGTTGTTGCTTCTGGTGGTGAACTATACTATTAGTATTAATGCAATGACATCAGTACATTTTCAGATGTTGTCTCGTATGTCCAAATGCTTTTGGCATCACTGTAAACAAACCACTATTAACAGAGTTACTATATATGTGTGTGTGGCAATGTTCATTGAGCACTACCTGTAGTTTCATCTATCCTGGAGAGCAGGCCTCTTTCTCTGTATTAGCCGAACTCATTGAACTACTGTGGAAGCATTCGTTTCATTTCACCCCCGATCACACTGAAACACTGTGTTTGATATCTCCCATTCTGATGCATAAGTAGATCCCACAGGGCAGCGAAAAAGAGGCAGCATGCGTGTGGTATTTCTGTGTTTTGAATGTGCCTTGACTTTTGTTTTGTACGTATCTGTATGAACAACCGAGGTGAATCCGGACTCACAATATGCAGTGCAGTCTCTTTCATTAGGGAGCCGGATGATGTTGATTTTGTGTACTTTCAACAGTTGTGGTCTGGGTCATTCATTACGACAGAGCTAATCCAGCCCATAGCTTTAAAACTGGTTTGATGAACCAAAGCCTTTGAATGTGTGTGTGTGTGTTGGTGTGTATGTGGCTGTTTTATGTGCAGTTGATGCATGTCTGAGTGTCCATTTTTCTGTATGTGCGTTACCGTTTGAGCCCCATGTTTTATTGAGCTGGTGTTTATAATCTGTTGCAACATGAAAACTGTATTATATCAGACTCACGACCCCTCTATCTCCTCTAAACTGCACAGATAGTGACATCTCACAGGCTGATTGATGAAAGATGGATGCATGTTCGTGAATTCTCCGGTCTTTTGAATCTGAAGGTACAGTCACGTTTTGTTTGTGGGGTCAGGGTCTTTTCTTTTCCCACCTCCTTCCAGTCTTATATCCTCAGACGGAGAGGTCTTTCTATGTTAGTTTGTATACTTTTATATAAAGGAAAAAGTGTAAATAAAGACGTTAAATAGAATGTATGTGTAGGGTGTACTGCTGTCACATTAGTTCATACTGATATTTTAAGGAAATAAACATTTGTGTTTCCACATTCTGTCTTGTTTTTTTTATTACATTTTTGCTTTGATTGCAGTTGTGTGACGCCTGGCTTCATCACAGGTAGGAAAAAATGAGGAGAATTATTTAAACAGCAGCACTTCTATTCATTGTAAACAAAAACATATTCGGGAGAAACATGTAACTCTTCTCAATTTATTTTAAGGAGAGTCTTGGAGCTGCTATTGAAAAAGCTCTATCACCTCGACATTTCAAGCGTGATCGCGGAGCTGTCAAATAGAGTCGATCCTTAGACAGGGTTCATGAATGCTTTTCTTACATAGATTTTTTTCTCTTGTTTCTAGTCCAAATATTTAAAAATTCTTATATCAAGAAGTATTTTCTTGGCAAGTAAAACATACTGTCTTGTTTTCAGAAATAATATGCCAATATTAAATGTGTTTTTCATTAAAACAAGCAAAAAAATGTGCCTATGGGGTAAGCAAAATAATCTAGTTTTTCCTTTTGACATAGGATTATTTTGCTTACCCCATTGGCAGATTATTTAACTTGTTTTAAGGAAAAACTCACTTAATTTTGGCATATTATATCTTAAAACATGACATGTTTTGCTTGTCTAGAAAATTCTGCTTGATTTAAGAGTTTTTAGATATTTGGACTAGAAACAAGACAAAAAATCTAAGTAAGAAAAGCATTTTTTGCAGTGCATTTTTACTACTAAAATTTCATGGCTTCCAAAACATTTTCCAGAACATTCAAGTACATTTTCATGACGTAATGTTTCATGTAATGTCTTCATATACATGATAAATAATAAGAAAAACAATGACGTTCAAATTTATTTCAGCATATCATAGAGCACGCAACAATTTATTTTGTTTCAATTTGTTTTTATATCTAAGTAAAATTGATTTTGATAAAGCTTAAACAGCACTAACAATGTGAGAGCAAGTTTTTGGCCAAGGACAGAAAAAAAAGTAAAGACAACTAACCTATATTCAAGTTAGGTCTGCACAATATATTGTTTCAGGATCAATATCGCAATGTGTGCATCTGCAATTATATAATTATATACTATATATACAATTATATAATTCTGATTATAGTTTAATATAGAGTTTAATCATAATGGAGTAAAGGTTTATCATCTGCATGCATTTTTAAAGAGATTGTTCACCCAAAAATTACTTACCATTTATTACACCCTTGACTTGTTTCAAACATTTATGAGTTTTCTGTTCTTTCTTTTTTTTTTAAATGAACACAAAAAGAAGAAATATTAATTCCTATAGTATTGAAACAAGTGTGAGTAAATAGTGAGTACATTTTAATCTTTGAGTAAACTGTCCCTTTAAAGAGCCCATATTATGGGTTTTTGAAAATTCCCCTCCATGTAGTGTGTAACACAGCTCTAAGTGAAGTGAAGTATCCAGCTAAGGCTTAAATCTGTAAGAATACAGTGTTTAAAACGGTTGATTCATCTATAAAAGAGTCGACTCATAGTGCTTCAAACGAATCGCCTTGATACCGACTCATTAGGTGTTCCGCCATGACGTACGAACGAAACCAAGGCTGTTTCTCAATATGCGTTCTTCAGCGGTCTTGCGTCCTCGTGTTCTCGTGAAACGTCATCATCAGCTGCCTAAGTTCAGTTCCAATACTCAAGACCGCAAGTACGGAGGACGTGTGAAACTTCCCGGATGTGTTCTTGATATCGAGGACGCACCGATGCAGACTTCAACAGCGAGCTCGCTCTGGAAGTCCCAGAAGTCATTGCGACTGGAGGTGGGAAGCGCAGCATTTTATTTAGATTTATTATTAAAGTTCAGAGATATTACTTATTTACCTCAGGAGTTTCCCTAAATGAAACGGTGAAGGTAAACATTAACATGAACATCTTAATAAAGGAATAAACACATTAATTGTGTTTGTTTGATGAAATTCGTATTAAAATTAGTTTTATTTATATTGTGCAGAGTATATTTATAATGTTTTTATGCAAAGTATATATTTTGAAGAGGGGGGAAACAATAAATCGTTGTATGAAGGCTGTAATGTTTAAATAATTTCCATTTAAAACGCGTGAAGGTCACATGACCATCAGGAAGAACGCAGCATCCCATTTCTCAAAGGACGCGTTCTCTGCCCTCGCGGTCTCCTGAGTTCGTTCTTCCGAGGACACCTGGCAAGACCGCACTCTACAAGAACGCAAGTCCATTCTCTGCGTTCTTGGAATTGAGAAACAGCCCAAGTTATTCACGTGCACGCGCAAACCCGGGAGATTTCAAACCTGAAGCCCCGCCCTCTGACGCAGAAACCCAGACACACACGCACACCCACAAACACACGCACACCCACAAACACACGCACACAAACATGCCGGTCGATTGAAGTAACACTGCAGATGGACATTATATTGAGTCTCTACCCAAAGATGAAACCTCAGCATTATAACCAAGCAGTTGGAAACTTCTGGAAGCTACATGCTACAAAGAATACTTCATCTGAGTTTGTTAAAGGAAGGATCAGTAAAGAGTAACTGATGGACGTCAGGATGGGTTTCTTCCATTTCTCAAGTGTAAGTACATGCGGTTAAAGTTGTTGCCTCGTTTACTCTAGCTTGCAAATGTATTTAGTTGTGATTTGTTACTTGTAACCGCGTGTACTGTATCAGGTTAACTGGATATTTTATCTTATCGCGTGCAAAGTCACGTTAAAAACGCGACGCGTGCTGTTTGTTTATGGAGCTCCGTGCTAGAGTTCTGCTCCCGCGATTTATTCGAAAATTTATTCCCGCGCCGCAGAAATCTGGCGCGGGGACAGCCGCGGGAATAAATTTCCGAATAAATCGCGGGAGCGGTCGGTAACGGGTTTAATTTGGGACGGGAGCGGGCTGTCTAGCAATATCACAGATATTGCTATGCGAATTAGAAAGAGAGCGTCTGCGTGGTGCTTGTGTGTGTGTTAGTGCGCACGCGCGCGTATGAGAGAGAGAGAGAGAGCGAACGAACGAACGAACGAACGAGCTTTGTGCTGTGTGTGTGTGTTTAAACCTAAACAGACAGCTTGGCTGTCTGGACTGTATACTGGGTGATTTTTGGTTGTGTTCTCCGCTCCGGGCCGGGGACCGGGCGCGGCGGGCAGAAAACGGAGCGGGTTTTCAGGCTAAAACCTGGCGGGTGCGGGCGGAAGCGGGAGCGTTGTCATCCGGAGGTGTGTGTGTGTTTTTGTGTGTGTGTGTGTGTGGTATGGCGAGTACACGACTGTCTCCTTCGTTCGGTTATCCGTGGCACTATCCACTCGCCATAGTGTGGCAGCTAAAATCCACGTTTAAATTGCTGATTAGCTATTGGCCATTTCCCTCTCTGACTGAAGGCAGTCGACCAATCGCGACAGACTGTCATCGGTCCAATCAGCGCAGATTAGCTCCACGCTAAGGAGGGGTTTGGGAACAAATGAATCACTGGACGATTCATACAGGAGTCGCTGGGATAATTAGCTAAAAATAAATGCAGATTATAAGACCATGAAAGTGTTTTTTGACCTTGCATGCATATTAGACTGTTGTTGGAGACCCTTACAACCAGGATATGACCCTATTTCATGTATAATATGGGCTCTTTAAGGCCTGTGACTGTGTGAACATTTCAAAATTTCAGAGTTGAAAACATCCGGCCACAAGTAGTTTTTTGAAACTTTAATAAATATTAAATAATGTAGAATGAAGACTATACAGTGTTGATTAGTCAATATCTGTACCTGAATGATGAATACCTGAAAACTATCATTCACTTTTGTCTTTACTATATTTTATTTATCTTTGCTTGTCCTTTATTTTTTATATATTACTCGAGATTCACTCCTCTACAAAATCCCCCTAATCAATCCAAATAAACCTGTTAAATTATCTGGTGAAATTGTATTCACATCACAATATATATCACAGAAATACAAAATATGGTAATGTCAGATTTTTCCAATACCGCGCAGCCCTAGTTCAAGTATACAGATATTTGTGAAACTAATTTCCATGACTTTTCCAAAACTGTGGGTTTTTCTATTTTTCCAAAACTTTTCCAGGCCTGGAAAATGCTGTGTCAAAATTCCATGACTTTTCCAGGTTTTCCATGACCGCATGAACCCTACTTAGAGCGAAGAGATCTCACGGGTTGGTGTAAATTAATTAGCTCAGAAATATACCTAGGGGCCAGGCCATGAAGGGCTTCAAAAACACAACCGTTCTTTGTACTGAATTCTAAACTGGATTGGTATCTAGTGTGGGGAAACCAGTACAGGTGTGATATGCTTTCCTTTTTTTGTGCCTGTTAAAAGCCTGGCAGCTGAGTTCTGGACCAGCTGAGAGAGAGAGAGGCCTGACTCACGCCCAGATACAATGCGTTGCAATAATCCAAACGAGAAGAGATGAAGGCATGAACAACCTTCTCCACGTGAAGTTTATTCATTCATTCATTTTCTTGTCAGCCTAGTCCCTTTATTAATCTGGGGTCGCCACAGCGGAATGAACCGCCAACTTATCCAGCAAGTTTTTACGCAGCGGATGCCCTTCCAGCCGCAACCCATCTCTGGGAACACGTGATGTTTATTTATAAACTAATTTCAGGAGGATCACGTGCTTATGATTGTTCTCATCTGTTCCCACATCAGCTTATTGATTCTCCAATCAGATGATTCCTAACTCACTATAAATAACCAGAGTTTTCTTATCTCAATATCTTCGTCTTGAAGAACTCCTCCTACCCACCCCTACTCCCCTCTTTTCCAGATGGACGACACGGTGGCCCATTGATTAGCATTGTTGCCTCACAGCAAGAATGTCTCTGGTTAAAGTTCCTACTAAACCAGATGAAATTTCTGTGCAGAGTTTTGCTCATTTCCCCATGCTCGCGTGGGTTTTCCCGGGCTCTCGGGTTTCCTCTAACAGTCCAAAAACACACAATCTAGGTAAATTGAACACAATATTGATACCATAACCAAGCTCCTGGCGAGTACACCTCTCCTCAGTCATTCATATCCGTCATTAATAGAAATAAGCCGAGGGGAAATAAGCCGAGGGGAGTTCTCCAGATCTACCTAAGCTTAAACTCCCCTCTCGCCCTGCAAATGAGAGGGAGCTGAGGTCTCGAGGATCTCATTAGCTCAGGGCTCTCCTCCGGGACAGCATGCCAAACAAGCTTTATAATCAATCATCAGCTAAGTGTGAACTCTTGAAGTCACTGAAAGAGAACAGACTTCAGCTTGCCAATATATCTAAGATAGAAAAGACTATTTTTGACAACCGCATTCATTTAGCAATACAATTCAAGCTCATAGTCAAAAATAACACCAAGACTTTTTACAGAGGAATGTATCTTACCAGGAAGCAATGAGGGATTGCTGTTAGAATCTGAGCCTTTAAACCAAAAACATTAACTTCACACTTGTCCTCATTCAGTTGGAGGAAGTTATTCGCTAAGCAACACTTCACATCAGCCAGACAAATAAACAAAGCCTGAAGGGAGGATTGATCCCCAGATTTTTTAGGGAAGTAGATTTGAAAGTCATCAGCATCAGATAGTAATTTATGCCATGCTTTTCAAAGATTTTACCCAACGGAAACAAGAGAAAACAAAACAGCCCCCAGTATCAAACCCCACACATTAATTATATGACAGAAGAACAAGAGTTGCCCAAACTGACTGAGATAGTTCTATCCTTCAGATATGAAGAGAACCAATTCAAAGCTATAGACCCAGGATAGCAGCGTGTTCTCTAAGCCAATGAGAATGTCATGATCAACTGTGTCAAAAGCAGCACTGAGATCCAATAGGGCTACCTGAATCAACCTCCAACAAAATGCATTTAAAACCCTCAATAGAGCGGACTCTGCTATGACCAGCTCTAAAACCGGATTGAAACTTATCAAAAATATTATTAACCAAGAAATAATTTAGCTGTACAGACACAATCTTGTCTAAAATCTTTGAGATAACAACAAAAGCAACAACACTGAGGAGAACACACATGTAACTCAACTGGAAACAGGTGTGCAACCTTTTAGTAACCGTGGAGACAAAAAATTGACAAAACAGAAACAAAACACAAGACATTTCAGCTAAAAATACTTCCCAGCTATATAGTTGGCCACAAATATGATTCATTCAATCATTTTCCTTCAGCTTAATCCCTTTATTCATCAGGGGTCATCACAGCAGAATGAATCACCAACTCATCCAGCATGTTTTGCACAGCGCATGCACTTCCAGCTGCAACCCAATTCTAGGAAACATCTCATTCACACACACTCTTATAAACTACGACCAAATTAGTTCATCCAATTTCCCTATAGTTCATGTCTTTGACTGTGGGGTAAACCGGAGCACCCAGATCAAACACAGAAATGCCAACTGACCCAGCTGGAACTCGAACCACCGACCTTCTTGCTGTGAGGCGACAGTGTTAACCACTGAGCCCCAAGTTGAATTATATTGAATTGCATTTGATGGATACATTTACATTTATTGAGTCCAAAAGGGAGGATTTGTGTGACCCTAAAGTGGTGAAACTGTTTAAAACATTGTATTCAGCTAGATACTGAGTGAAATTCATATTCAATCATCTCTCAGTAGCTAATCATTTTAAATCATGGAAGGATTAATTAGTTTGATATTATAGTCTGACATGATAACTAATATTGAACAAAATGCATTGCATTATTTGAGGGTTAATGCCATAGAAAGATTCAATTATTGATGATAAGCCATTTCTTAGAGAATTGCGCCCTCTTTTGTGCATTAGTCGGAATTGTTTTGTTTAGAAGCTATGATATACATAGTATTACTGAAATTAAAAAACGAATTGACATGGGTATTTGAAATTGCAAAAACCTCGAAGTACCATCTGTAATTTTTCAGTTATTTCATGTTGAAAGCAATAAAAATAACTCATTATTTACCATAAAAGGGAAATTTCTTGACCAAGACATAAACCTGAGGCTGAGACAAATGGTAATATTAGATGAAAATTTGAGATGGCACTAAAAGGTTTTTGCATCTGAACTCTTTATATATTCACAATAGGTGTCCTTCTTTTTAGTGGTCACAAAGTAATTATTAAAAATAAGTAGGTTACCTGCTTAAGAGACTAAGATAATTTAAAACGGGTTTAAAAAATCATTAGAAACATTAGAAATTATAAAAACGTCTGTTGTAAATTTAAAACAATATATCTAGATATCATCTGTCAAGTAGCTAATCACTTTAAATTTATTAAATGAAAGGATTGAATGGAAGTTATTGTATATTATAATGACATAACTAATATTGAACATTGTAACATAAAGGGTTTATGACAAAAAAATATATAAATATTGATGATAAAACATTTCTTAGAGAAGGGCGCCCTCTTGTGGATTAGTTGGAAAAAATCTAGAACAAATATTGGTTAGTTTTTATGGCTATGTGCAAGTAGTCTGACTAAAATTAACGAACGCATTAAGATATAGACCTATATAATATGTCTTTAAATAAACTACAACATTGTGGTAGAAAACTACTGTTATAAGTATTGAAATGTTTTTTTTTTATAATTTAGGAAATTTATATCATAAAAAGGAACTGAGAAAAAACTAACAAAGTAAACAAACCTGCGCGCGCGGCGGTTCCTGACGTGGCGGCTCGAGGCGCGTCCACACCTCCTCTCGTGGGCCGCCGCTATTGGACGCGCAGTCTAATAATGCTAAACCACAGAGGCGCAGGTGCCAAAACCGAAACCTCCCGCATGTAAATTTCATATTCAGTTTTCAAAGCAACGCTTACACAACGCACAACACGCTAAGAGTTTCGACGATCTCTTCCCGTTTGTCTTTGTGAAGACAGTGAAGTCAGTCAGTGTTGATTTGATTGTACTGAAGTTCTAAGGTAAGATAGCCTACAGTAGGTTAAGATTAACTTTTTCTGCTACATGATAGTAAATGTAGTGTTTCTATATTTGTAACTACAACATTTTAAAAAGAAGCAGTAGACTCTCTGTGCTGATGTGATGTGAAATGTGTTGTATGCAGTGATGCCCCAGCTCACGTCAGGTGTGATCCTGCAGCTGACGCTCCTGCTGTCCGCTTTACCTGCGCAGTATCTCATCTCCAGGTGGACAGGAAGAACCGCCACACAGCGACACATCGCCACTCAGACGTAAACAACACACAAACATAAAACAAGCTTTCATATAGCCTACAGGGGGGGTGGGTTGGTGTCAAGTGTTTCGGTTATGCTTGTAATATGGCTCAGTGAACCACATTTATAGGCTATATTTCATTAAATTACATCAACTTTATTAATCAAACGTGGTATTATGTTTTCAGTGTTTTGAGGGATATTAAGTGGTCGTCAATGATATTTGGGATATTCAAATCTGTGACACTCACAGGTTTGCTTTCCTGCACGTATTAATAGATGACCATGACTGCTTATATTTTTATTTCGCTGTTTAGCTTTCATGTGCGAGCCAGTGTATAGAATAAAAATCATGCATCTAGTTTTACAAACACCTGCAAACACCCTTTTTAAAGAAAACTTTTTTTGTGAACACTTATTCTGTCTGTTGCTGCTCTAGATTTGCTGGTTTCACACCGATAAATTAATATTTCTGGCACAAACATGCCTTCACAATGGTATGAAACATTATAGGGGTGGTCAAATGTATAGGGAAGTTATCTACTATTTTAATTATTAAAATTATTTAAGATACAGATCAGAGCAAACTATTTCTTAATTATTAAAGGGCAGACCCCCACATACATCTTTAGGTGGGATAAAGCGTTAAATAGAGAGGTCAGACCGGTTCATTACGCTGTGGTGACCCCTGATAAATAAGGGACTAAGCGGAAGGAAAATGAATGAATCATTAGTCGTGTAGTATTGACTGTGTGTATGAGCTGATGAACTTCAGCTTTGCCATCACAGATATAAAGAATTTTTTTTTTAAATACGTGATCCATAAAACTATTTATTTACATCATGAATAAATAAGATATACATTGATGTATTCTTTGTTAGGATATGACAATATTTGAAACTATTGTAAAGTCTGGTATCTCAGCATTTAAAACAGAGATGCCCAAAGTAGGGTGATGTGTAAATGAATCAAATTGGGCATCATGGTGGCGCAGTAGGTAGCACGAATGCCTCACAGCAAGAAGGTCGCTGGTTTGAGCCCCAGCCCAGTTTGCATGTTCTCCCTGTGTTTGCATTGGTTTTCTCCACAGTCCAAAGACATTTAATTCAATTCAATTCAATTCAATTCACCTTTATTTGTATAGAGCTTTTACAATGTAGATTGTGTCAAAGCAGCTTCACATAAATAGTCATAGTAACTGGAACAGGGTAGTTCAGTTTTTAGTGTTTAAGTTCAGTTCAGTTTAGCTCAGTTCAGTGTGGTTTAAAATCATTACTGAGAGTCCAAACACTGAAGAGCAAATTCATCGATGCCTAGCTCTACCGATCCTGTACTATACAAGCCAGTGGCGACAGCGGAGAGGGAAAAAAACTTCACCGATATGAGAGTGAAGAAAAAAAACATTGAGAGAAACCAGACTCAGATCGGCACGACCATTTTAATTTCTCCGCTAGCCAAAAGTCTTGTGCAGAGCTGCAGTCTTAGCAGTGGAGGCTGAAAGCTGGCCTAAGCAAAGACTCGTTTGTTCCTGGAGCGTCACTGGAATCAGTCTCATGCTCTCCACTCCCCCATAACCACCAGTGCAGCAGCAGCTCAGGATACGGCCTGGTCCCGGATATGAAAACCTCGGGATCATCTTATCGCTGGTCTTGGATCCAATCAGTGACTGCGCATAATCTGAGGACCTCGGGATGAGTATCCCCAGGTGGAAATGGAGAAAAAAAAGAGAATAATTAGCGTAGCTGCTGTTCATAGTGTATATAAACAAGATACAGAAACGTGTGTGGAAACCAGCTAAGTGATGCACTGAGTGTATGCTTTACTAAACAGATAGGTCTTTAATCTAGTTTTGAACTGAGCAAGTGTGTCTGAGCCTCGGATGTTATCAGGAAGGCTATTCCAGAGTGTTTGAACCATAAACGAAAAGGCTTGACCTCCTTTACTTGACTTTGCTATTCTAAGTACTACCAGAAGCCCTGAGTTTTGAGATCTTAAAGAGCGAGCTGGATTGTAGCGAGACAGAAGGTTAGTTAGATAAACAGGAGCTAGATTATTTAGAGCTTTATAGGTGAGAAGTAATATTTTAAATTCAATACGAAACCTAACAGGCAGCCAGTGTAAGGAGGATAACATTGGGGTGATATGATCATATTTTCTAGACCTGGTCAGAACTCTGGCTGCTGCATTTTGTAATAATTGAGGTTTGTCAATAGAGGATGCTGGGCAGCCAGCAAATAGAGTATTACAGTAATCCAGCCTAGAAGTCATAAAAGCATGGACTAGCTTTTCTGCATCAGAGATTGATAACATACTTCGCAATTTAGCGATATTTCTCAGATGAAAGAAGGCAGTTTTTGTGACATGGAATATATAATTTTCAAAAATTAAATTGCTGTCTAATATGACACCCAGATCTGTTATAGTAGAGCTAACACTAACTTTGTATCCCTCTAATTGTAGATTGAGTTGCGAGATCTGCTGTGTACAGGATTTAGGCCCAATAAGTAATAATTCTGTTTTTTCTGAGTTTAAGAGATGAAAATTGTTGGTCATCCAGTCTTTAACATCTCTAATACACTCAGTTAGCTTAGACCAGGGGTGGCCAATCCTGTTCCTGGAGAGGCACCTTCCTGAAGATTTCAGTTGCTACCCATATCAAACACACCTGAACCAATTAATTAGGACCTGAACACCACTTGATAATTACAGGCAGGTGTGTTTAATATGGGTTGCAACTGAAATCTGCAGGAAGGTGGCTCTCAAGGAACAGGATTGGCCACCCCTGGCTTAGACAGTTCAGACATCTCATCAGGTTTAGCTGAAATATATAATTGAGTATCATCGGCATAGCAGTGAAAGCTGATCCCATGTCTTCTAATAATGTCTCCCAGTGGTAGCATGTGAATTGTAAACAGCAAAGGGCCAAAAACTGATCCTTGAGGCACCCCATACTTTACTGGGCTGACTTGTGAAGGCTGTCCTATTAATATTCACAAACTGGTAAGACATGCGCTATATGTGAATTGAATAAGCTAGTGTATGGATGTTTCCCAGTGTTTGGTTGTGGCTTGAAGGGTATCTGCTGCTTAAAACATATTCTGAATAAGTTGGCGGTTCGTTCCACTTTGACAACCCCTGATTAATAAAGGAACTAAGCTGAAAAGAAAATTAATGAATGAATTAAATTTTTTAAAATATAAATACTGTCACTTGACGGATAGAAGACTATGCAGAAGAAGACATCAGCGAGCAAATCAAGGCAAAAACTTGTGTAATTCTGTTACAAATCAGATTGTTTCATATTTCCTAAACAAGTTAGGAAATTACCCATGGCAACTTTATTTACCATGGGCTCACTAGCCTCAATCAAGTTTGGCTTTTGGCCTGTCATAAGAAAAGTTTGGGCACCCCTGGGGTCCGTTTTTCGTTTGTGGATTACTCAGTTAGCTGGATTTGGATATTGACGATTTGACACGATCCAGGATCGTTTCGTTCTTCAAAGCTGATCCGAGAGTTGTTGTCATAGCAACAGTTCTGCTAGCTCAAACCTGATCGGAAGCAGGTTTAAATCATATAAACAGGATTAGATCGGCTCAGTTCAAGCAAAGATAATACAGAACGTATGTTCCGAATTCTGATATTTTCTTACAGTAGTAGTTTTATACACTTGGGAATATATATATATATATATATATATATATATATATATATATATATATAAGTTATAGTTATTAATAAAATAAATAAAGTTATAGTTATTAATAAAACTTATGCAATCTGCACCCCCGAAATGAAAGTACAAAGACTGCCACCTGCTGGTGCAAAGAGAAAACTTATTGATATGAACTTTTTAGATCACTTTAGTACAATTTGTGTATAATAATAATGCAGAATATGTGACTTTTATGTTTTATGTCTTGTTTTGACAGTTAATATGCCAGTGATTTGATGCTTCACAAAAGTTGCAGATGCCTTTACCAATATCAAAATGCTTTTGTAAACATCCAGTTATTCCATACAGCGATTAAAAAACCGGCTACTATAATAAAGAAAATCTTCTCTAAATGTAGAACTCAATACATTGATATGCATTAAAATACATGATGAATACTCTTGACACATAAGAGTGTAAAGCCTGCCACTCACAACAAATATGAAAGGTTATTGCGTGTCATATTTAACAAACCGTTTACTGCTAATTTGATGTAATTTTGGTCACATGGATAATTGAATATTAATCAGATGATGTCATTATGCAGCTGTGCCGTCAGCCAATCGTTGCATTGCTGATCATGATTTCGAGGATCGATAGATCTGTCCTTCACAACACACGCAGAGATCTCAGATGAGTTCATCCAGACATTCTAATCTGATTCGCGAACTTGTTTGAAGAACCAAATTAGAGAGAGATCAGTTATCAAGATTAAAAGATCCAGGATCTGCCAAATCATCTTAGATCATTTAAGCGAGGTACGAAGAACAGACCCCTGGTTTAAAATAATCAAAATATTTGGAAAATTTAAACCCTTTACAGTCTAAATGTCTGAGCCTAAGAGACTTCTATACAAGTGTATAATACTGAATTTACATTTTGAATGAACAATGTTTTAATACAGTATTCAAGTCTCTGTATTTCAGATCTGGTGTCCTTTTATTATACTATTTTTATTTAATTTTTGAAATATGGTCTTTTAGCTTCTTTTTTCAGTTCAGGGTAATGTTTTAGCCAAATGCATATAGTTTGAAAAAAATCTGTACATATTGAAATCTTTGAAACAAAACATAATTCAAGTATAAAACAATTCAGAAAATGTGCACTTTGACACTTTGAGAGTGAACTAAACGCATCCATGCAAAACCAAATTTACTCCCATGCCACATGATAAAACATTCATTGGTTTTCCTTCAGCTGTCCCTTTATTCATCTGGGGTCATCACAGCGGAATGAACCAGCAACTTATATAGCATGTTTTACACAGCGAATGCCCTTTCAGCTGCAACCCAGTACTGGAAAACATTCATAAACACTCTTTCACAAACATACACATACAGAAAATTTAGTTTATTCAATTCATCAGTACCGCATGTCTTTGCAGTGTGGGGGAAACTCTAGCTCCCGGAGGAAACCCACGCCAACACTGGGAGAACATGCAACCTTGTTGCTCTGAGGCGACAGTGCTAACCATTGAGCCACCATGTCGCCCTTCATGATAAAATATTGAGATAAATTGAAATGATAATTTTTAGAGCGACAAAAAAGTATTTCCTTTGGTTTAAAATGAAGTGTCACACTGTAGGATGTCACTGACAAGATCTGATTTCTCATATACAGAATCATCGACACATGGAGCACCATGAGGAAATCCTACCTGAACACCACTGTTTGGGTTGACTGGATAAATACATGGATTCCCAAACTACCGTAAGTCTATGCCTATACTTTTTAAGAGTTCTGAATCACTCGGATGCTGAATGTTATGTTGTGTTACAGGTCATTTGGAGAAGAAGAAGAACAGTACCAAACACTGGAAGAAGCTTTTGCCATTGAGCTGTTGATGCACGATAATGAGCATGGCTACTTTGCAGGTAAACTTTTTAAATGATCTCACCACCAGTTTGTTTTTTGGAAGGTGTTGAGTGTTTATAGATGTTTTTTTTTTTTTTTACTTTAAATGTTTTATAAAAGTTTTTCTTTCACAAAAGAAATGCATGTTTGACTACAGTTTAGATGATTGAAATATAGCATTCATGTAGCATTTGTGTGTTGTTTTCTGAGTGTCTGAAATGCAGGTTTGTGTACATATAATAAATAAATTAAAGAGCTAATATGTATTTTTGTGTAAAATGACTGATGTTTTGATATGTGATCAGTCTCAAAGGATGTGCGAAGCCCCAGACCAGCATATGTGCTGCATCGTGTAGGTGAAGTTGTTCTGGAGACTCAAAATAAAATGATTGGTGTGATCGTGGGCTGGGATGCAGGACTCCGAGCCCCTCCAGAGTGGATCAAAAGAAAGAAATACACAGACACAGAGGTTTGTTAAGTATATTACTGTATATAGTGGTGTGTTCACAAAAATTTTTCAATTATGAAACCATATTTTAGTGTGTTTTTGGCTGGTACCTTGGGGGGTATAGGTCTATCGCTAACAACTAACACTAACATTGTTAACAACTAACAACTAACACTAAAACTGCTAGGAGAGGAAGTTTGTGTCTAAATAAATTAGTTGAATGCTTTGGTCAAGCGGTTAGTTCAAACTGGCTCTTTCTTTTAGATATGTGGAAAACCATACTTAAAGTTTACAGTATTAATAAAACAGTAAGCAAGAAGTACACAAGATGCAGTTCTGAAGGGTTCATTTGATTCACACTTCAGGTCTGAATCTTCAGTTAACAACTCACCAATTCAAATGATCAGGTCAGAGTGAATCTCGACTTAACGACGCACTGATTCAAATGATCAAGTAAGAATTAATCTACAGTTCAGGACTCACTGATTCAAATGATCAGGTCAGAGTGAATCTATAGATTATGACTCACTGATTCAAATGATCAGGTTGGAGTGAATCTCCAGTTGACGACGCACTGATTTAATTGATCAGGTCAGAGTGAATCTACAGTTAATGACTCACTGATTCAAATGATCAGGTCAGAGTGAATCTCCAGTTAACGATGCACTGATTCAAATGATCAAGTAAGAATTAATCTACTGTTAAGGACTCACCGATTCAAATGATCAAGTCAGAGTAAATCTCTAGTTAACGACTTACTGATTCAATAGATCAGATCATAGTTAACCTACAGTTAACGACCCGCTAATTCAAATGATCAGGTCAGAGTGAATCTACAGTTAGCGACTCACTGATTCAAATGGTCAGGTCAGAGTGAATATACAGTTAACGACTCACTGATTCAAATGATCAGGTCATAGTGAATCTAGTTAAAGATTTGCGGATTCAAATGATCAGGCCAGAGTGAATGTACAGTTAACAACTGGCTGATTCAACCGATCAGGTCATAGTTAATCTACAGTTAACGACTCGCTGATTCAAGTTTTCATGTCAGAGTGAATCTACAGTTAGCGACTCACTGATTCAAATGGTCAGGTCAGAGTGAATATACAGTTAACGACTCACTGATTTAAATGATCAGGTCATAGTGAATCTACAGTTAAAGATTTGCGGATTCAAATGATCAGGCCAGAGTGAATCTACAGTTGGAATAACATCAAAGTTGGAATTATTAAAATTAAAGTTAAAAATAAAAAGTTGGCGTTTCTGTGTGGAGTTTGCCTGTTCTCCCTGCGTTCGCGTGGGTTTCCTCTGGGTGCTCCAGTTTCCCCCAAAGTCCAAAGACATGTGGTACAGATGAATTGGGTAGGCTAAATTGTCCGTAGTGTGTGTGTGTGAATGTGTGTGGATGTTTCCAAGAGATGGGTAGCACCTAGAAGGGCATCCGCTGCGCAAAAACTTGCTGGATAAGTTGGCGGTTCATTATGCTGTGGTGACCCCGGATTAATAAAGGGACTAAGCCGACAAGAAAATGAATGAATGAAAAGCATTATGGTCATCTATTGTTTTAGCGATCTTCATGTTTACAATTGTGCTCCCTTCGCAATGCACTTTGAAAACATTGATGTCATTTTGAACACAGCCTCATGAAAGCTGTAGGTGACCTATTATTTAAAAGTGGAATTTATGTTGCGTCTCCAAAGCGTGTGAAAACAAAAAAGCATACGTTAATTCTTTTAATTTATAGTGGGTTATTTAATCAAGATCTGTACCCTATATGACATGGGCCTGCTGGTTACATTTCTGCAGTGTCTCAAATTGTAAAAGTAGACTTTAAAATATAAATAAATAAACAACATCCTACTTAACAATAATAGTAATTATTTTTTCTTAATTTAATTAATTATTAATTAAATAATGATTATTATCATAATCATCAATAACATTATTAAAGTATGTTTTTTCATTTCTAATAAATAATAAATAGTACATTTCATTTCTTAATAAATAGCCTCATTATTTAATTATTTATATGATATTAGAATACATGTTAGCTTTTGTAAGTGATTTGTTTTAGAATAGAATATTATAATGTTCAACTTCTCAATAATATTAGTTAAGCAAATATAGCCCCTATGTGGCATTTACATGTTTTTACCAAATCTAATATTGGATTTTATTTTAAATGCATGTTTGTGTAAAACAATATATATTTTACAAAAATAAATTTTGGGTTTTTCTCTAAAAAAGTTGTTACTTCACCCTGTTTAGAGCATCATTATGGGCATTTTATGTTATAACTAACGTGGTTCAAGCGATGGATCTGCGACAGAGAAACTAGGGGTTTTGGAAACATTCATCACTTCATAGTTCATATTTTCCCGAATGATGCATTGTACTATGATATTTCAGTTCAGCCGCGTGTTACATCGTTGTTTGGGAAACGCACCCCAGGTCAGAGTGAATCTACAGTTAATGATTGACTGATTCAAAAGCTCAAGTGAGAACAAATCTACAGTTAACGACTCACTGATTCAAATGATCAAGTAAGAATTAATCTACAGTTAATGACTCACTGATTCAAATGATCAGGTCAAAGTGTATCCAAGGTTAAAGACTCACTGATTCAAGTGATCTGTTCAGAGTGAATCCAGGTAATAACTCACTGATTCAAATGATCAGGTCACAGTGAATCTGCAGGTAACGACTCACTGATTCAAGCTATCATGTCAGAGTGAATCTTCAGTTAAAGGGATAGGCCACCCAAAAACATTTTATATTGTCATTAGTTACTACCTATTCTTGACCCTTCGCTTGTTCCAAACCTGTTTAACTTTCTTTATTCTGTTAGACACAAAAAGATAATATTTTGAAAAACAATTCATCATTTGCAGCTAATCTAACATATACTGTAAAAGAAGTCCATTGATAAACATGTCTCTGCTTGTAGCTGGAGAGAGCAAAGGACACTCCTCATTACAGAATTCTCTTCAGTGGACCAGATTCCTCATCAATATTGATCGGATACATTCCCCAGTATAATGTGAAGATTTTTCGTGGCTTTGAGGTGCATTGAAATCTTTTTCACCCTCTTCTGGTGCATTTTCTTTATGGATTATAAAGTTTGTTTGGATTTAATCCAGCTTAATCTTTACCAGTGTTTGTGTTTGCTTTCTACAGCTGGACATTGCAACTCTAGAGCATTATTTTTCATACTTCAATGGGGAAACATTTGTCATGCAGGAATGGCTGCAGGAAATCTACCCTCATGACTGAACCAGCACAAACACTTTAAAACCGGAAGTCTGTTACTTTCCATTGACAGTATTGATTCTTTTAATGCAACAAGGAAAAGATCAAAAAGGAAGCAAGTACATTTGAGAGAGTTTTACTATAGGCAGCCCCAAATACATAAACACTGAGTAATTGTACTTATTAAACTTGTTGAATATTTGTGTCAGCTTTCTCAGGGCAGAATAGTAAAAAATTCTATTATCACATTTTTAGAATCATATTAATTTCAAGCATTTGTAAAGTTATGAGAAAAACTAATTGGGATGTCAATTAGTTTAATTGTAGTCTAAATTTAATGTCCAACCGGCCACTTTATTAGGTACACCTTACTAGTACTGGGTTGGACCCACTTTTGCCTTCAGAACTGCCTTAATCCTGCTTTAAGATTTAATATGGCACATGGCGCTGGAAGTAGAAGTAGAAGATGGGTACACTGTGGTCATAAAGGGATGGACATGGATGGACATACTCAGGTAGGCTGTGGCGTTGACATGATGCTCCGTCAGTACCAATGGGCCCAAAGTGTGCCAAGAAAATATCCCCCACACCATTACACCACCACCAGCCTGAACCGTTGATACAAAGCAGGATGGATCCATGCTTTCATATTGTTGACTTCAAAATTCTGATCCGACCATCTGAATGTCGCAGCAGAAATCGAGACTCATCAGACCAGGCAATGTTTTTCCAATATATTGTCCAATTTTGGTGAGTCTGTTCGAATTGTAGCCTCAGTTTCCTGTTCTTATCTGACAGGAGTGGCACCCGGTGTGGTCTTCTACTGCTGTAGCCCATCCGCCTCAAGGTTGTTGTGCATTCAGAGATGCTCTTTTGCATTCCTCGGTTGTAACGAGTGCTTATTTGAGTTACTGTTGCCTTTGTATCAGCTGGAACCAGTCTGGCTATTCTCCTTTGACCTCTGGCATCAATAAGGCATTTGATCCCACAGAAATGCTGCTCAGAGGTTATTTTCTCTTTTTCGGATCATTCTCTGTAAACCCCTGGAGATGGTTATGCATGAAAATTCCAGTAGATCAGCAATGTCTGAAATACTCAGAACAGCCCATGTCGCATCAACAACCATGCCACGTTCAAAGTCACTTAAATCACCTTTCTTCCCCATTCTGATGCTCAGTTTGAACTGCAGCAGTTCGTCTTGACTTTGTCTACATGCATAAATGCATTGAGTTGATGCCATGTGATTAGAAGTTTGCATTAACAAGCAGTTGGACAGGTGTACCTAATAAAGTGGCCAGTGAGTGTATTTTATAATAGTGTTTTCCAACACTGTTCCTGAAGGCACACCAACAGTACACATTTTCAACCTCTCCCTTATCAAACATACCTCGATCAACTCATCAGAACATAAGAAGAGACTCCAAAACCTGAAGTTAATGGGTCAGATTAGGGAGACTTCTAAAATATGTAGGCCTACTGTTGGTGTGCCTTCAGGAACAGGCTTGGGAAACATTGTTTTAATATGACAGTGGATTAATATGCACATGTTGTTTTGACAGGTAATATGGTTTGCAGAATGTGATTAGTTATGATCAAATGTTTTTAGTTATTGTGATATTTATTTAAATCAAAAAAATGAATGATTTGTTGTATAAAACAGTATTGAGAATGGGATAAACTGTGTTCACCCATATGGTAAAATATTATATTTCCTGGCCAAAATATATTTTAAATATATGTTAGATATATGCTGTATATGTATTGTTTAATAAAATCTATTTTTGAAATGGAAATTGATACATTTCTAAATACATTTTAGGGTGATGAATACATTTTCAAACCTAAAGTATTGAGAGGAGATCAAAGTATTTATTATTTAATATGTTTTTAATATAATTAATAATAATAATAATAATAGCATATATGCAACTTATGTATCCTTAAAAAACTGTTGCATACAAAAAATATATCATTACAATAAAAAAAGATTTTGTCAAGTGAATGTAGAAAATTTAAATGTATGATGGGTAAATATATAATATGATGGGTAAAATATATCAAGGAAGCGATTTTAGAAGAAAAGCCTAAGTATAAAACAATTAATGTCGCATCAACAGGCTGTCCTGTGTTTCCTGCAGAGTTTCATGCAAATTTGGGTAAAATATAAATGGTCAAAATGTATTTGTAGAAGATATATTTGTTAATATATGTCTGAATATATTTGACAAAATATATATTTTTTAGGTATTTTGAAAAATATTTGAAAAAAGATTTTTTTACCTTATGGGACTTTTCTTTTTTTTCCTTCTTTTTTCCCCACCACCACCCCTTCCACGGTGTCCTGCAAAGTTTAGTTTAAACCGCAATCAGACAAACCTGGGCTGCCTAATCAAACTCTTAAGCTGCGGTCACACTGGCCTTTTCTCGCCATAGACTTCATGTGCACGTGAATGCGTCAGACCGAAAACACAAGCTTGTGCAACAAGTTTTGCAGTTCTGCGTTGCAAAGTTCAAGCTTGGTAAAGTCTGACCTGCGAATTGCATCACTTGAATGCGCGAGACCAATCGAGGATCAAAACATGACCTCTTTGGACAAAGATTTAAAATATGGAGTCATCGCTCACTTTTTTAAATGTCTAATTATCTTGTGTAATCCTGGCCCTTTTCACAGCGCTGTACAACAGAATTTCGCAGGCTCAAACTCTAATGTGACCGTGGCATATCCAAGCTTTTTAGAAACATCCCTGCAGGTGTGTTGAGGCAAGTTAAGGCTAAAATCTGCAGGACACCGGCTCTCCAGGGCCGAGGTCGGACACCTCTGCTTTTGTAAGTACTTTTTTTGGAAGGACATCTTTTCTTTCTTTTTTTCATTCCCACCATCACCCATTCCTCTTGATGTTTTTCCTGGGAAAACATCTTTTCTTTTCTTTTTTTCCCACCACCACCCCTTCCTCTTAAGTACTTTTTTTTTTTTTTTTTGGAAGGACTTCTTTTCTTTTTTTTTTCCACCACCACCCCTTCCTCTTAAGTACTTTTTTTTTTTTTTTTGGAAGGACATCTTTTTTTTCTTTTCTTTTTTTTGTTCCCACCACCACCCCTTCCTCTTGGACTGCCCAAACTCGGTCCTGTAGGGCCGGTGTCCTGCAAAGTTTATTTTTAAACGCAATCAGACAAACCTCAGCTGCCAAATCAAGCTCTTAAGCTGCGATCACACTGGGCTTTTCTCGCCATAGACTTCCATTCATGTGCAAGAAGTTTTGTACTTTTTTTTCCCCTTTTTTTTCTTCCCACCATCCACCATTCCTCTTGAGATGACTTTTTTTTCCTGGGAAAACATCTTTTCTTTTCTTTTTCCTTCCTTTTTTTCCCACCACAACCCCTTCCTCTTAGAATTACTCTTTTTTTGGAAGGACATTTTTTCTTTTTACTTTCTTTCTTTTTTTCTTTCCACCATCACCCATTCCTCTTGAAAATACTTTTTTTTTCTGGGAAATCGTGGACATCTTTTTTTTTTTTTTTATCCCACCACCAACCCTTCCTCTTGAACTGTCCAAACTCGGTCATGTAGGGCCGGTGTCCTGCAAAGTTTAGTTTAAACCGCAATCAGACACACCTGGGCTAGCTAATCAAGCTCTTACTAGGCTTTTTAAAAACATCCCTGCAGGTCAGGGGCCTCATGTACAATGACTTGCATTGAATGAAAACTAAAACATTTCATTTCATTTCAACTAAAACTCCTGTCATACACAGTAAAAAAATCAGATGTTGAAATACTGCGTATACGGAATCCTATGCATATTCTCTTTGTACATCTGAATTCCGTAAAATTGAGTGCAACATGCATGAGCACAAAACCATTCCCTGCCTCTTACCGTGTATAAATATAGTAATGACTCCACTTTGGAAAAACCAAATGAAAAAGCAATGGCCAAAGCAGGCAAGAAGAGAATCTTCACAGAATGTGAATTGGAGGTGGTTCTATCGGAGGTAGACCGAAGAAAAACTGTGCGAGTTTGTCCTCCGGAATTAATAACAAAAGAAAAAATTTATAATGGGAGAGTTTAGCTGATAAAAATAAATAAATTAATAACTTAAAAAAATAAAACTTGCTGGAATAATATCTTTAAAGTAGGGCTGTCAAATGATTAAAAAATACGGAATTAATCACACTTAATAAAAATAGAAAAAATATTAAATAAAATAATTAACTAATTAACACATGGAAAAAACTCCACGATGCAATAATATATGACACAGCAGATCAGCATGTCACAATAAGATTGATATCCACTGACATGTAGGCTATTGTCAAATGACTAAATATTATCTATAGTAGCAATAAATTCAGGATGTATAACTCGAATACATAAAATAGATGATAAATAAATTAAAACATCATGGAGTAGTCAAGCATAACTAACTTGCGGTGGAATAAATCATGTTAAAAGTCGCGTAATAATTAAAAATCGATTTGCAAGTGTTGATTAGTGTTCAGTATTCAGATCAGATTCAGATCAGTATTACTGCAGCGCGACAGGTCACTACACATGCCACTACCGAGTGACACATGACAGTGAAAACCGACATGCCACCCGAAGTGTCACTACACTCCTTCACTCCGTGGCAGATGCCATTTATATCTGTACGTCAGATGTCGTGTCACTTCATGTTAAAACTGCAGTAATATGGGAAGACTAAAATAATCATCAAGATAAAAAGTATAAATCAAAGTCTTTCTATTGCCATAATTATTAATAGTTTCAGAAACGTAGAGTGTGTACAGTGTTAAAACTCCTATGCGTTTTGCCCTTTACAGTCTATGGTTTTGCCACGGAGTTAACAAAAAGCGCGAAGAAGACATCCGGGAAAGCGTCACGTGTTCGGCATGTTCATATGCGGCGTGCTTTTTTGTCGAGCAGAGAGGTGTTTTTGAACAGTAAATTATGGCAGGTAATTAATCGTTATATCGTGTTTTGTTCACAAACATGTTTTTAAATGTTTGTGAACTGCAGGTAGTTGTCAGTATGTTGCTTTGTTGACGTCGATATGCTGAAAATGCATGTCGTGGCCAAAATGTTTTGAAAGCTGTTTACAATAACAAATCAGTGCGGTTAAATAGATGTGTTTCTTGTCTTAAACATCCTAAAGGATTACGTTATAAGTCCCTGAAACCGAATTACCTATTACATTCAAATAACTTTTGGGCCTGTTAGGATAGGTTAGTCCTGTTCTTGGGAAAAAACAAACAAACACGGAAACCACTTTACCATGTAATTACATTGCAAGTCATACAATTGTAAATATTAAGGCTTTAAGTGCAACATTTTTGTAGGATTTCATTTGGCTCTTTTTGCGTTTTCAAATCTATCATGTTGGTCTTAATGATTCTTTCAGTCAAGTCTTCCCTAGCTGCTTTTATAAACATTTTGAGATGCTTATCTGTTAATATCCTAGTTTTGTGCTTTTGATTTTGTACCTTCTTGCCAGGTACGTGGGTTATTTTTTTATGTAATGCTTTATATTTGCTTTCTCTTATTTTGTTA